ACTCGCTCTATCACTCAAGCAGTATCTCAAAATGAAATAAGGGATTCTGTAATAACTTTTGTGATGAATAAATATATCAGAAAGGCAAATCTATTCATGAAACGAGTGCATCTGTTCTACAAAGTAGCCATGTCTATCGCAGGGAGTAACATGATGCAGAAATATGCATACAGTATGCGCACATCGATGCACAAATCTATAGAATGGAAGCAGAGCATAATACATTTACAGCATTAGCGTACCTAACTTTTGACAAGAAATATGAACAGTAGGGGACATAACATGTATGCCAAACAGGTCCCCTGTTATGTGTGCAAATGACTAGTTGAGAGAAGGTCCCTTATTCCCATGATGGCCTGTCCTTGGGACAATGGATTTAAAAAACGTGATGACAAGTGGGTTTTTTTACATAATAAAATGTATTACAGTTATTAATTGTAATACCAGTCATAGAATGATATCAAAGGAAATGTATGCAGAAAAAAAGTCATATTTTGAGAAAGATGTTCTACAGTCGAGTAAAATTAGCTGTTTGTTTTAGAAGGAAGTTCTTTGTGAATCTTTTTACGAATTTTGGTATTTTTAATTTTTTAAAAGCTTATCCATTGTAGTGTAACAAAATATATGTCATTGTGAACACACGTTTGCTATCGCATTGAAACATGTTTACTTTCTTTAAAATTGTGTGTAGCCATCTCACGTGACTTGCAGACAAGCCGCTAAGCAATTATTAGGGGAGATAACTGATGCCTGACTTGTTGATCAGTCAGAAAATCTGTTTGTTGCTGCAATACTTAAAAAAATATCACATTTTATTGTGCACTGAACTTTATTACTCTTAAGCTTCCTGAGAAGACCCTTGAAGTTAATTATTGGTGGTCCCCTAGACCCCAGTTTTGTAAGTCAAGGTGAAAACTCTGAAATCCTACCACTACTCCTCCAGGCCAACCAGATCTATCTTTCCTCTATTCCTATAGGGGAGCTGTGTCTATCCAAATTCTAAGCATACAGGGAAGCCATGTCTAATTCAATGCTTACACTCAAGTCATGACTATCAGGGGGCATGTGTGCCCCAGCTGTCCAGGTCAAGTTTGCCCAATGTTTCTGTTTCCTAGTTTTGGGAATCGGAAACCAAATCCACTATCGATTATCGGAGGATTTGTGGTGAATGATAATCGATTATAATTGAAATGTATACATTTTTAATGTAATCAGCAATTTTAAGGGTTTTTATAACTAATGCTGTCATGCAATGAAATGCATGCATGCATGCAAGAAAGACACTGGAATTGTAATTATACAATAAAAGTGGTTTAAGTTTTACAATGCTGTTAAGCACACGTTTGTTTGTGAATATTCATCAAATTGAATGGTTAGTTTACTTCATTCGATCAATCGAAAATATGTTTTTTACAATCGATAATCATTTTTAATCCTTCTTTCGATCGATTTTCGATTATTTTCGATCATCGGAACACCACTACTGTTTCCCACCCTGCTTGTTGGTTTCAGAAACTGGTGACCATCTGTGACTTTCAATACATGGGGCTTTTTAATCCAAATATAGCTGACATGCCATGGTATTACAGGAAAACTGTTTCAAGCAGCTTTAACCTAACTCACTCATGTATATCTTCCAATTGTACACTTCAGTCATGTGATGAGGTTAATTGGTGAAGTATTTCAGTGTAGGAGAGATAACAATAAACTGTATATGGATGAACAAGTTCTTTATTACAGGGAGACTGAGTGTAGGTTCTAACACCGTTGTCAACCAACTACACCGAAATGTGGCTCTCGCTGTCATAAAGAACTTGTTCATACATGTATTGTTATCCTTACTGCTCCAACTTCTAAATGCCTCTCAAAGGAGGTATTAAGTATAGACTTTGCATGGCGTTGTATGTAAGTTTGACTGTACAGCTGTATGGCCAGTGCACACCAACATCAGCTCATATATTCATGCATGGATAATATGCTCACGCAGCTGTTTCTACATGTAAACTGAACACAAGAACTAACTCTGTATTATTGTAAAATGCACAGATACTGAAACTATGGTTACACTGGATATTTTGTGACAATGTCTGATAGCAGTTTCACATTCACGACCTGTACACACAAACTTTCACTGGTAGGTGGGATGACTGTATTCTACCCATGTTCTATTCCAGTCACACACAGGTGCTTTGCAACTAGCAGCCAAGCATGACAATTACTTAGTGAACATGTCTAGACCTTTCTCGTTTTTGGATTTGACCTACACAGCTAGCTAACAGTAATTATGTCAGTTAGAACCTAAGAGCAGGGGGGGAAAATACCAGCACCTTGAGCATGCACTAGTGCGTGGATATGTGCGCTATATTAATATCCAATAATAATAGGTTACTGTAAATTTCTGGTCATGTCTGGTTTAGAATTGGGTATCAGAAACCTCTGGTAAGAGGAAACTTAATAGGTTAGATAGTGAGGCTTGGTGCCATGTTTGATGGCATGTCATCCTTACCTGTTCCAGCAGAGCATCCTTGCTGCCCAACCACTGTTCTTGCAGCTGCGTCTACATTAATTTGATTCCTACATCACTGTCACAACTATCCGGGCCTGAATAGTTGCTAAAAAATCAGTCACTGGATTGTCTCCTCTTTACACGTGAATTTAAATCATAGAGCTGGAATATTGCTGATTTGGGCGTTAAACATCACACATACAAACAAACACCTGAATGTTAGATCCAGTCTATATTTGAGGACCCTTTCCTTAATTAGATATGAAGCTTTATCATCCCAAACTGTGTTCCACAGGAGATATCGTTTGTGTGAGATCAGACGATATCTCCTAGGAGATATCATTTTGACAGTAGATTTTGTACAATGCTATGACGTCATGAACTTGATGACTTCACAATGCTATGACATCGCTGCACTGGAAATCTAATGGCAGTACTGTGTTCAGAGATGTACATTTTTCTTTGAAAACTAATGAAGAGTGATTTTTGATGATAAATAGAATCTCACCCTCGTGTCTTCTGATATCAAATATATCAACACTCGTTGATAAAAGTAAAAATATCCTCGGCAAGCCTCGGATATTTGTTACTTTATCAACTCGTTGTGATATATTTGCTATCAAAAGACACTTGGGTGAGATTTAACATTACCAGGTAACTGTTATAGGAAGAAGCATGAACTCCAGCTGACCCAGCCTTTGTAAGTGAGTTGGCTCTTATTTCAGAGGTATATACCTAGACCCAGCCCTTAAAGGGCTTGTTTGATATATGTATTGAAATTACAGCACTATTTTTTACTGCCATGTATACCATGTATCATATTAGAACAAGGGGCAGATGGGTAGCCTTGTGGTTAAAGCCTTCGCTCACCATGCTGAAAACCAGGGTTAGATTTTCCACACGGATACAATGTGTTAAGCCTATTTCTGATGTCCCCATGCAGTGATATTGCTGGAATATTGCTAAAAGCATGTAAAACCATACACTCATAGTGCTGGAAGTATAGCTTTAAAATGTATTCCCTTTAAAGAGACAAGCTCGTATTCAATGGCTTTCTATAGAATATCATTTGCTGAAGCAGCAAAGCATGTGTTAATGTCAAGGGATTTCATCATGCAACCCACTTGATATAATGCATATACTGCATGGAGTATTTGTTACCTGGACCTGGCAGATCAGCTGATGCAATAAACTATTAATAGAACCCAGGAGCTCCCTGACAATCTCCGGCTTGCTGAGCCGTGACACTTGACCTCACTAAGGTGAAATATTGACAGGGTAGCGGTCTCAGCGTCCCATGCGATACCGGCATGGACGGAAAAACAGCTGATATCTGCTGATGCAATAGTGGGGAAATGTAGAATGATAAAGCTATAGGAAACCGGCTAGTTTACCTGCACAGCACAGTATACCACTGTGGGGACACAGCAGTGAAGGACTTCTCTGGGAGAGGTGTGACAGGATTGTCAACATTTACAAGTTTTGATTCAAGAGCTTTGGGGATATACAACAGAGAAGACGACAAAGTATTGAGGAGGTTCTGGAGCATAGTTGATTCTGGAGGATAGTTGATGCAGGAAGTGTTGAGGATAGTCTGTTATCAGGATATACAGATTTCATTGTGGGATATATACAGAAGAATACTGTCAGTTTGAGGATAGCTGTGATACATGCTGATGTATCTTATGATATATGGATGATACAGAACAGGGGATACAGAATATACAGGATTATTTAAAGAAGACCTACATACCAGGAAGTTTGACAACTGTGTTTGGAGGTATATAACGAGGACCAGGACACATGCCGTCTGCTGAGTGATTTTTGAGAAGTTGGTCTACATTGTGCACTTTAATCAAAAAGAATTTCATTGATTTTGTATCTTTGTGATCTTTTGTTGTCTACAAAAAAGGTTTCAACAATTTTGGTTTTCTAAACAAATCAATTTGACTGAGGATGGATGGGATGACTACAGTTGAAGGTAGAGTTGAGTGTGTGATGGCGAGGTCAGGGTGTCAGCTCTCTGAAATACCTAGCCCACAAGAACCTTGTTGTGAAGGTATCATTGTATGTACTCGGAGTAATATTACAGCATTAATACTACAGTCAAGTCTGGCATTGTGACTTTTCATCTTACAAGGAGCTTGTAGCTCTTAAACTCTGCTACTTGTGGTGCTGGTTATGAAAGGATAGATCTTATCTAAGATTCATTTGCAGGTCTCTGATTTTAACTTTTAACTATTTCTCTTGATTTGTGATATTTGTATGGGACAGTGTCCTGAGAAAATATGTGACATTTTTTTGTAGTAATAAAAAGAAATTGTAGAAGATAAATTTGCTAAAAGTTTGTGGAGGATAAGAAAGCTGGAAAGATCTCATTGAACCATCAGAAGATGATGTGATCTCATAGAAGATAAGAAAGAGGCAGTGATCTCAAAGAATACAGGAAAGTTACAGGAATCTCATCAGGCATCTCAAAGAAGAAAAGTTAAAGGAATCTCATAGAAGACAAAGTTGCAGGAATCTCAAAAGAAGAAAAGAAATTTACTGTAATCTCATAGAAGATAAAAAAAGTTGCAGGGATCTCATAGAAGATAAGAAAGTTGCAGGGATCTCATAGAAGGGCTGCAACACAAAAACTCACAAGTGTGTAGAAATATCAACAAGAGATAATAAAATCAGCAGAATAAAGTCCTGTGGTAAGAGACAATCCTAGAAGAAAGATGTCGTCGGATCAGCCCAACATGTTTCTGGAGGGGGGACAAGGCGTGGTGCTTGTTGGACGAACTCGGAAACAGTTTGAAATCTACAAGCAAGTCCAGGAATTAGGTAACGGAATTGCTGACCTGAAAGCAAAGAAACCACCAGGATATAAGAAAAAGGTGCAGTTTAGCTTCCATTGTATTATGGGTACAATGTGTAAAGCCCATTTCTGGTTTTCCCTGCTGTGATATTGCTGGAATATTGCTAAATGTAAAACCATACTCACTCACTCATGTGTCACTAATAATTTGTACAAATTGTTAGTCCAAGGCTGGGGGTGGTGGGGTAGCCAAGTGGTAAAAGCATTCACTTGTCACACAGAAGACCTTGGTACACACCTGGATACAATATGTCCCCCCACGATGAAATTTCTGGAATATTTCCTAAAAGTAGCGTAAAACCATACTCACTTATGCTTAGTCCAAGGCTATGTTCTTCTGTGGAAGAAAGATAATTACAATAAATTAATCTTTAGATTTTCATTCAGATCTCTAACTGCATATGCATGAACTATTCAAGCCAGCTGTATACATTAACTTTTGACAAATGTGATTCATGTGAAGCCAGAATGTTTTGCACCAACCAATGGAAGATGGGGACCCACATGGTGATTTAATATGTCTTCAGGACGTAGTGAGACAGAGGGGGATGATAATCTCATAAAGTTCATTTGTCTACTTGAAAAGTGCTGTGATATTTACAATGAAGTTCCACTATTTGTCCAACAATAATGCAGCCATAAATTATTTATTACTAAACTATTACAAATCATTAAAATGCTTCAGAATGTGAGATCTGTGATTCTCATGAAGCCTGAATATTCAAATGAGGTATTATTTAACGAGAAAAGCCAGATGTTTTGTTAATGGTGTATGATATTGGTGATTGTGAATGATATTTGGGTCAGAGATCCACAGTGTGATTGGGATCTGGTGGCTAAAACCTTACCTCGTCTTACCGACTCCTCCTTAGCTGTGAAGATCCAGGTTAGAATCAGGATCGGGTGGTCAGGCTCGCTGACTAGGTTGACATATTTCATCGTATCCCAATTGCGTGGGTCAATGCTCATGCTGTTGATCAATGGATTGTCTGGTTTAAACTTGATTATTTACACACTGCCACCATATAGGTATAATTACTGAGGAGTGAGGCATTATATAACAATGAAACAAACAAACAAATCTAAGGCCTTCTTTCAGTTCCCCACTTGAGTACAAGCTCACTTTGGTGTTCCTAGCTGGAATATTGCTAAGAGCACTTTTAAACCCAACAACACACTCACGTACTAAATATGCTGAAAGCAGTTACAGCAGTCTGCATTCCATCTAGTTTCATTCAAGTGAAAATATTGCCTCTATATTAATACCACAGATGTCTGTAATAGTTTTCATCAATGTAAATGCTAGTGAGTACATGTATACATATATATTATATTTGGAGTACAGCTCGCTGGCTTGGTTGACACATGTCATCGGTCCCAGTTGTGCAGATTGATGCTCATGCTGTTGATCATTGGATTGTCTGGTCCAGACATTTATTTACAGACCGCCGCCATATAGCTGGAATACTGATGAGTGCGGCGTAAAACTAAACTCACTTACTTAGATTACAGAGTTGGCGAAAACAATGTTATCCTAGTCAAGGGAGATAACCCACGTTCTCCCGACTTACATGGAGGTTTATAGTAACTATCCCCCGCTTAGGGACAGTTTGGAAGGGGAGGACAGTAGAGTTTGATGACTATGGAGAATATGAATGACCCCCCGAAAAAATTCGGAACAGAGTAAATGACAACACACACACACACAAACACACACTTTGGGCTGACCCACTGTTTGCCTAATAGATCCCTGACCCAATTTACCCTTGATATATTTCAGTGTGTATGTGTCGTGTTTTAACTACAAATTCATCATGATTTACTTCTTAACATACTTGCCTTCAAGCAAGAGTAATTTATAGTACTTTACTTTATATTTTACATGATGCAGAAAGATCTTCACTGTATTGTCTGCCAATGGGCAGAGTAATGGATGTTAAAATTCCATACTGTCAGATTGATTTTGACCCAAATTATACATGTACATGGGAAGGTACATGATTATAATATGGTACATATGTTTGAAGGGAAATGTTTTTGGAAAAATTAGTGTTGCAAAATCGGACTCTTGGGGCTTTTTGTGTAGTCTATATCTTCATGTGTTTTCTTTGACTTGGATTTTGATGAGATTAAACTGAGCATGACCACAAAAATGAATTAGTCACCTCACAAGCTGGGGACAGGTGTAACTGGAATCACCAAGAAAATGTGGCATGTTTTGCCAAAGACATTGGTTAGTGGTACAAAGCATAAAGTCCAATCATGGTGTCTCCCTTCCTTGATTTAGCTTGAATATTTGCTGATTGTTATAAAACAATTATTCAGTGTTTCATTCTGAAAGGTCTTACAGAAGATGCTGTAGAGTATGTACCTGTTCCAGACCTGCATGACGGTCTGGTGCTGTGTTGATGTCATGTAGCATGGTGAAGGGGGGTGTCTCTGCTAGCCTTTTGTACTGTTTATATTCACCAGAGTTGCTGAAAGAGTTCTTCTCTCCATTCCATATCCTCTGACCTTGTGATTGTGCTCACCATGTTGCCTCTCTGCCGATTTCACCGATTGCTGTACCAAAAAAACAAACTACACTCTGCTCTGCGCTTTTTGTCATCTAACCAGGTAAGATATAGTTAAGAGTGTATAGAATAGGTCCCAGTCTTCTATAGCTTGTCGTAATTGGTGACTTAATTGGATCCAGTCATCAGCCTTGGTTGCCAGGGTAACATTGTTCCTACATTGTGTGAGTTGTTCATGATGTCAACCACTGGTTTGACCCAGATTGAAAAGTTTAGAGGATGTTGTTATCTTAGTGGAATTGTCTTTGTGAAAGAAATAATAAACAGATTTTTTAAGAGGACAGTGGGCCATCTTTGACCATCCAGTGAAATACTTAACCATTACATTAACATTAATTACCTGGACCTCATTCCACAAAGCAATATCAGTACTAGGGTAATCAAACTCCATACATCAACACATACTTACAATCACTTGGACACATTTGCCTTCAGAACTTCATTTTTGGGCCAGTTCATGGCAGTGAAATGACAGGATGCTAAAAATACTGATCATGTTTCGACATCTTTATTCTTAATGTCTGTTGAAATTTAATGGCCATGCCCTGGGTGGTGAAAGGTGACTTTCAATATCCATGTGAATAACGAGTATTCTTTTGTTTAGATTTTCTCAAACATTTATCTCTTAGTAAGTAAATGCTAAGATCACTTTATATCTTTGTTTTACCATCATTTCATTTTGGAAATCTCAAGAGTCTTTGTACCCATTATAGAATTTCTCTCAGCCATTCGCCTGCAAATATTAAAATATGTGTGCTTTCATTTAATTACCTCAGATCTGCCCAAATAAAAGCATTGAGTTGCTGTTGCGATTATAAGTAATTTTCTCACTTCTCAGCTGACATGAATCCTATACAGAGACTGGTTCAAGGCTAGAACCATAAGATATCATTCAGGATAGAGTTACCAAGTCCTTCAGTGACCAGGAGTCTTATCAGTGGAAGGAAACTGCTTACACATGTGCACCTATCACAACTTAACAATTGTATATGAACTACATAGTCTTATAGTCTCTCATCCTGTTTCATAATATAAAGTAATTCAAGATACGTTCTTAGGAAAACCAGTACCTATTCTAGCTTACTTCAAGTTGAATCTTTTCAAGGTTATTAAGTTGGCTTATGTACAGTTATCCTAACTTCAGATGCGTATTCAAGAATTTTATGTACAGTTTGAATAATCTTGATCTGTCAAGCACATTTTTAGGGTTTTTTAAGGAAAATATAATCTCCGATACAGATTGGCATATACTGTCAATATGGGCAGACTATTTCATATCTTGGAATAAAAGAACAGGTGTTTATGAGTACTTGACTGGGTGGAGTATTTTCACACACCAATTTAGGTTTGGCAATGTTGTTTTAGTGACTGAATAATATATGTTATGTTAAGTTTACATGCCAATTATACACCGTAGAAGAATGATGATCAAGGTTTCTTCCAAGTGGTTCATTGTTTTAAACAATGCACCAATGGAGGTCTCATCAGAAAATAAACAAGGTAAATTGATCATTATCAGCAAGTTGTTCATATGTACAAGGAAAACAAAGGGACAGAACCGAACCTTGAGGTACCCCACATGAGGTGCATTTCAATGCTGATAAGCTAGCATTTACAAGTACCTTTTGTTTCCACTGAGAAGTGTAATCTATAGCCCATGATAAGAGTTAGTCATCAATATCATATTTATCAAGATTATGTCGTAAGCCCCTGTGCCAAACCCTATCAAACACTATAGAGATACAAACATTTTTTGAACAGTCTTAGCCATAAGATTATTGTGAAGGTTTCCTAAGGAAATTGAGTTTTGTTGTAGCCTATTTTTTGAAACTATGTTTGCCTTGAGAAATTGTAACGTTGTCGTAAATCTAAGACAACTCATTACATTTCGTAAGTTTGCAATTCATCTGAGATGGTGGCATGTTTGCCATAGATATTGTGCAAAGATATAATCTGATTTGTGTTGAAACATTGACATTTCATTTTGTTAAACTTTGTTAATTAAATGAATCATTCAAATGCTGGATAAATGCTTCAAAGATTTCAGATAAAGAATTGTATGGGATAACTGAAATTGAATATGCCATGTATACTTTTATGAAATTTTACCAAGAATTACATATGAAATATTAGATGTTGGTATGAAATGTTTGTTTAAGATAATTTCCAGCGAAAGTGAAATTTTTGTTTCCTTATTAAAAAATTAACAGCTAGTTTAGATTTGAAAGGTAAATATTTCATACCCAGTGATTGAATATTAAGTACCAGTGTTGTCTTTTGATCGGGTGCTGTTAAAATATTGAAGAAAGTGTTGTTAAAGTGTACTATATCATGAACATTGTCCAGAATTCACTCACTAATTTTTATGATAACTGATTGAAACTGACTCATCACTATACAAAATCAACATCTATTTTTATCACAATTTGCATTCATTGAACTGATTTAAAACAATGATTGATGTTGGTCTTTTCAAAATATAATTGTATGTTTACCAGTTTTCTGTCAACATATATTGAAAAACATTAGAAACCTGACACCATTCACCCAATAATACAGTTATAGACTGCAGGGTCACCAGCCAAATGTATTACACACAGTTTTGTTGTTATGGCATCTTTTATCATAAAAACAAAACAATTCGACATTAGGGATTTTTGTGGAAAGTCACACAAATTAATGCTCGATAAACAATATGACCAAACACTGTGATCATGAGTTCTGCCTTACTTCTCCATGGTGGTGTTGGGTAACTCCGCGTGACATCATCGGGAAGCACCCCACCTTTTTCAGTCTCCCTCACAAATGAGTGTCTGTCACAGTTAACCCGTGAAGATCCGGGGTAGAATAGGTCTTCAGCAACCCATGCTTGCCACAAAAGGCAACTAACGGGATCGGGTGGTCAGGCTCGCTGACTTGGTTGACACATGTCATTGGTTCCCAATTGCGCAGATTGATGCTCATGATGTTGATCACTGGCTTGTCTGGTCCAGACTCGATTATTTACAGACCGCCGCCATATAGCTGGAATATTGCTGAGTGCGGCATAAAACTAAACTCACTCACTCACTGTCACAGTTATGATAAGCAACATAGCTTTGTACAAAAGGCAACCAATTTAAGATAGTTTCAAAAATATGTCTTATTTTAAACCTAAGGTATCTTATCTTTCAGCTTGTGTTAAGATTAATTTTAGCAAAGATCATTTCGAAAATCTATATCCTGACCTAGGTTATTAATCACTTGTTAACTGGTCCAGACTTACCTGAATACTTTGATAATGATCCCTAAGGTGTTAAACTTTCATTCTCCCTTTTATAAAGAGTCTAAATACTTACCAACTTCATGTGTGGCTGTGTCTTCTCTGTGTCTGATCTCCAAATGCAAGTCTTGGTGTAAAGGCTGCAACTTTCCTTTTATCATACTTAGTATGATAGTGTAGTTCGTTACAGATAAGCGTAAACATACGTTAAAAGAACTGGACCTTCAAGACCATCCCATAGATCTGATGAAATAAGGATTCCTTGTGTTCCCACTTTTCTCACTTCCCTCGTTTCCATAATGGATTCATCTAGGACAGTTCATAGACTAGTCCACATCATTATTTGGGGAGGGAGGTATTTACAAAGGAACATGTGGGATGTTCTCAGAATTAATATTTAGGTCAGATAAGAGTCTGGAGTGACTGGTCACAATCCTGTTCTCTGAATGGCAGAATAGGACAAAGTGATAAGATAGGCTTCTATAGCATGCGGCCATGTTGTGTCAGGACCTTCCAGACATTCCGTGATATTCCCACATTTCGTAGAATAGTACCCTGCCCAACCTCTTCAGTCATGGAGTGTTACGATGATGGGGGTGTTCATAAGAGCATCCGTCTCAAAGACTCTGAAAGTTCCAAAAAGAAGGGCAAGAAAAAGAAGGTAGGAAGACAGTTGACATCTGGCCATGTCTGAATTTTGTCGACTGTTGGGATGACTTGTCGGAACTTAAGTCGCTGGACCAGAACCTAAGCCTTTTCTATAAAATATTGATTTAAAATATTGAAATGCAGCATGTTTGGGCAAGCAGATTTTAAGATTTCTCGGCATAGATATCATACTACATCTTTTGACAGCCATAACTACAAGCGAGATTTGGAGGACAGAGTTGTGGAAGATTAATTTTGGAGCATATAAGGCAGGGAGTTTGAAGGCTAGCAAACCAAGTAGCAGTTTCATTTTCAATGAAGATTATTCATGCCAATGGTGTTAATACTGATCTGAAATCTTCATCATGTCCCAGGCTGGGTATTCAGGGGCATGGGTGACATAGTAGTCTAAGAGAACATGCCTACACAGAGTTGCCTCCCCCTGTCATGCCAGGATCCATTGTTACTGTGTTTGAATTTGAGCTTTTGCCCCAGTTGTGATCCTTGGCTCATCATCCTGAATGGCTCATCACTTTGGGCAACATTTTGTTTGTTGCTGATTTGGTGAACCTTATGCCATGTTAACCATTGATTGAACTTTCAGAAGGTTTAGTCACTAACCAATGATACTAATGTCAAGAATCTGATAACTCTCCGAAAGTGCCAAAAATCGAATCAGCCAGCTTGAATAGCAGTTTCAGTAGCATACATTCAATTTCCACAAGCTATGGATTTACAGGGTAGCAGGGGCCGTGGGGTAGCCCAGTGGTTAAAGTGGTCGCTCGTCACACCAGAGACCTGGGTTTGATTCCCAACATGGGCACAATGTGTGAAGCCTGTTTCTGGTGTCCCATACCCTGATATTGCAGGAATATTGTTAAAAGTGGCGTAAAACTAGACTCGCTCACTACAAGGTAGCGGGGCTGTCGATCTGTGACATTGTATTAATTTGTTCGTGTTTGGTGGTCAGCAGTGATAGATAAGACTGTGGTATTAGGGTGTGTCGTGTTATTGTCGTGATCCGTTCCTGCTGATAAGATTGGTGAGAAATGATGCAACACTTACTGTAACTGTAAATCTACTTCAGTCTGACTTTCAAAACATGTCCCATTCCAGCCGTCGTGTTATAATGAAGGTATTTTTAACAGAATTTTTGTATGGGAAAATGTCTTTTGATATGATAAGTGTATTTTGAGCAAAACTTTTTAAGTTTTATTTTTACATTTATCGTGTTTACTGATAACATAGTTTTTCCACTTGTCATGCTTCTCATCACTATGTTTACAAGGCAAGTTCACACAGTTCCATATGAAAACACTCTATCAAATGCTCTTAATCCTGATGGAACAGTTCCAAGTAGTGGCACTTGGATATGCAGATATTGTAATTAATGACTCTGTTGTTATCCTCCATATGGGGTTACGTCTCTTGGTATGTGGCACTTCTAAGTAATAAACATCCTGAAAGTGTGAGTGATTGAGTTAAGTTATACACCGCTTTTAGCAATATTCCATCAATATCATGGCAAGGGACCCCGGAAATGGGCTTCACACATTGTGCCCATGTGGGGAATCGAACCCGGGTCTTTGGCATGACAAGCGAACAGCTTTAACCACTAGGCTACCCCACCACCTCCTAAAGGAATGGTCTTTGCTGTTAAAAGCAGAATAATCTCTACACTTGCATACAGCAGATGTAATTCACATTTAGCTTATTGTCTTTATTTGTAAGAAAGTTAGAAATGATTGACTCAATATCTGGTCCATCATTTGATTGTCTGGATTGATTTTAATGTCATTTTGGCAGGTAACCACACATACCTTTTATGCAGATTGTGTAAGTGGCAGGTGCTAACAGTAGGGCAGGAAATGCTTTCCCTTTTCCGGAACACCTGGTGTCATCACTGACTCTCAGTGATCCATAATTTGGCCTCTTGCACCCAACAGGAGAAGAAGTTGCCAAATTATTAGAACTGAATCAGTTTCTTCAGACAGACTGGATTTTGTGGCAGTGATGTATAATTACCAGGGTAACAAAATTGTATCTGAAGAGGTCTCTATACTGATGGGATCAGGTGGTCAGACTCGCTGACTTGCTTGACACATGTCATCTGTTCCCAATTGCGCAGGTCGATGCTCATGCTGTTGAACACTGGATTGTCTGGTAAAGACTCGAGTATTTACAGACCGCCGCCATATAGCTGGAATATTGCTGAGTGCGGAATAAAACTAAACTCACTCACTCTATACTGATGTACTTATTTTGAGTGACATCTGCTGTTCATTTACAACATTTTCACCATATCACGCAATATGTGAGCTGGTGAAGATCCGAGGGGTGAATAGGTCTTCAGCAACCCATGCTTAAAACTAAACTAACGGGATCTCGCGGTGGACACATGTATTGGTTTCCAATTGAGATCGACATTCATGCTGTTGATCACTGGATTGTCTGGTCCAACCGATTATTTACGCTGTCATATAGCTGGAATATTGCTGACAATGGAAACTAAACTCACTGACTCACTCACTCTAGTGATTTACAGGTTGCATGTTGTGGACTCTGATGACCACTGTCGCCAGGTAATCAAACAGTTCCCAATGTCGTGTTCATTTGTTTTTCAGATAGGAGAAGAAGTTGCCAAATTATTAGAACTGAAAGCACAACTCGGTGATGATGGCCCGAAAAAGTTTGTTCTCAAAACCCCGAAGGTAAGTGAATGGTCTAACTCCATGTTTTACTATGTTTTTGTGAGATACTGTAAATCACGAAATTTTGCTAGCATCATATTTTTGCGAAAAATTGCGAAACACTTGAGCTCGCAAAAATATCTTGGTCAAATGCTATAAACAATCAACAAATAACTTGTTTCATTATCTCTTTATTATTCACCACTTCATAGAATCAACAACTGATCTAAACAATACATCAATTAAGCAATGACAACTTGAGGGAAGACTAATTACTAGTACTCACATCTCATGTCAAACAAGGGATGCAGTAACAGAAGTTACTCAATCAGTACGTCTGATAGTCCAGACAGGTGCCAACAATGCAACCACTCTTTAGAGACTGTTTGATAGGCCGACACCATCAAATGGGTATGGATAGGTTTCATCATACTCATCCGGTGATCAACAGCTTTGGTGACGCAAAAAGTTCGTGATTTACAGTATGCTGGAATAGCTGACAGAGAGGCATGGAATAGTTGGCATAGATGCATGAATTTGCTGACAGACTGAAATGGAATAAATGACACGGTGACATTGAATAGGAGAGAGACAGACATGGAATAGCTGATAGTCTTACATGGAATAGTTAACATAGTCAAATGGAATAGTCAACACAGTGACATGGAATAGCTGATAGACTTACAAAGTTACATGGAATAGTTAACATAGTCAAATGGAATAGTCAACACAGTGACATTGAATAGTTGAGATACTGACATGGAATAGCTGATAGACTTACAAACTTACATGGAATAGTTAACATAGTCAAATGGAATAGTTAACTAAGTGTCATTGAATAGTTGAGATACTTACATGGAATAGCTTTTAGTCTTACATGGAATAGTTAACATAGTCAAATGGGATCGTCAACACAGTGACCTGGAATAGTTAACACACTGACATGGAACATGATACATTGTCCCACCCTGGCTCACATTGATGCTCTCTGATGTCCACACCTATGTTACCAGGGCACCAGGGACTACAGCCCACAGCAGATGGCAATCAGGGAGGGAGTCTTCAACAAAATCATTCAGACCTTCAAGCGCCATGGAGCCGAGACCATAGACACACCAGTATTTGAATTAAAGGTACCAACATCCTACATCAATATATGATTGATTATTTACACTACTGCATTATAAGGTTTTGGAGTTGGTGTAAGTAATGTCCATCGGGACAAATGCAGGTGGTCTTTTCACTATCCATTCAATTTACCCTCTCACTTTATTTACATGATAAATGACCTGAAATTGATGAGTATTACAATGCTGTCTATATCTTGACTGGTACATCTGTAAAATATGCAAATAAATTGTCACTGCTTACCATGAAATATGCTAGTGTTATCTGATATGTCTCAAGTAAGTTTAAGAATGTATTTCTCTATATATGCATATTATGCATGGTTATCTATTCATGTGCTAGATATAAACTAGTTCTTCCTGTATATTCATGGTTTGCTATGTTAATGTTTTATTCTGTTTCAGGAAACACTAACAGGGAAATATGGTGAAGATTCCAAACTTATATCCGACCTGGCAGACCAAGGTGGAGAACTCTTGTCTCTCCGCTATGACCTCACTGTATCCTATTCATAAAATTGTTCATGGCTGATCTTAATAACTATTGGAGACAAAAAGTAAAGCAGTTTGATTACTCTTAGACTCAGGGCTCTAGAATTGGATGTACAGGCTTGTGTCCCTTAAACATGCTCTTAGAAACCTCTTAGCGTGGGTTCGAACCCAAATGACAGTCACTCCTCAATGTGAATAGTGCTTGACCAGAAGGTGACCATGCCTCATTACCGTGGAGCCATCTTATTTTCTACTCTTTACTTTTTTTCTTTTTTTTTCTTTTTTTTTAGTTGTTTTGTTCGTGTATTTATTAACACCCAAATGCAACTTGTCTCATGGAGTTTCATTGTACTCGCACTATCGACCTCTTGTGAGGCTGGTCAGGATTAAAATATGCCAATGGCGATACAAGTCCAGCGTCCTGATCCGCAAAGTGTTGTTAATGTTACAAGTTATCTTAACTGTATAGTTTGTCATAGGCTTACAAATGATATATTGCTGCGAATGCTTTGTGGATTGGGTCGCATTACGTTAATGGTTGACATGATACAAGTATAGAAATGGTTGCATGATACTGTTCTAGCGTTTCAGTCTATTTTAACATCCTTCAATCACATTTCTGCAGCTGGAATATTTCACAGTGATTTTCCTGATGAATCATAGATAACTGTTGGCAACTCTGAAACATTACCCTTAACTTGTGTCAGGTGCCTTTTGCACGCTATTTAGCCATGAACAAAATCTCCAATATCAAACGCTACCACATTGCCAAGGTGTACCGCCGAGACAACCCCGCCATGACAAGAGGGAGGTATCGGGAGTTCTACCAGTGTGTAAGTACTGAAGTCCACTTGATGCCTCACATAACTGATGACTTTTTCATTGTGTCACTTCTAGTGTCTGTTGAGAAATTATATGAAATTTACAAAATTTTACAAGTCAAGATACACATGGCATATTTGAAAAATTGCGTCAGAAATTATGATACCGGTAGCAATGATAACTATATGACAGACTTTACAGATTTGGTGTAAAAGATTTTAGTTTCAAGTCTGACTATGAACAAATACAATAAGAAAACATGCACCACTGACAAATAGGTCAGTATGGGATAAGAAGTGACCCTTTCACCTTTCATGACAATAGCAAATTGTTTTCTTTTTCTCATCACAATATGGGGCGGTGGGGTAGCCTAGTGGTTAAAGTGTTGGCTCGTCACGCTAAAGACCTGGGTTCGATTCCCCACATGGGTACAATATGTGAAACCCATTTCTGGTGTCCCCCGCCGTGATATTGCTGGAATATTGCTAAAAGCGGCGTAAAACCATACTCACACTCACTCTCATCACAATGACAATACTTTGGAATGTTTGGTTTCATGTGTTAAATAATATGGGTTTATTTTTTATTGGGTCAGTCATTGTGTTTTGTCTTTTTCTTTTCTTTCTTTAAAGTTACCCATGTAAGTAGAAGAGCATATATTTTAAGCCTTATGTTAATGTGCATGTGTTGCAGGATTTTGATATTGCGGGTCAATACGACGCTATGATACCAGACGCTGAGTGTATAAAAATTGTAGTGGAAATTCTGGAATCTCTAGAATTGGGAGATTTTGTAGTCAAGGTGAGTTCATAAGTTCAACACTGATACATATGTTGAAGATATATCTGCTCAGTATGATTCCATTGTATCAGTTCTTGCTGAACGATCAAAAGACAATGTCCTATTTACGAATACTGTGATGTAACTCATGGTCTTAATCTGACAGGGGCGAGTCTTCAGTGGTCGATGTATTCAATTGTCATGCCGAAGCCCCGAGTTCAATTCCCCACATGGGTACAATGTGTGAAGACCATTGCTGGTGTCCCCTGCTGGAATATTGCTAAAAGTGGCATGAAACTAAACTTACTTGCTCACTCTTAGTCTTACAAAAGTTTTAACAGTTTGTAGTTCATGTTGCTGAAGAAAATTATTTAAATGACATGTTTTTTAGGATCTAGCAAATTACCATGCAGGAGGATTGATGGGAGTTTTCAGTGATAGGTTTGGGGATTTCTTATTTCTATGACTCTTATAAACCTGTGTTTAAAGTATTATGAGCTAAGATCACATTGTGCCCCTGACTGATCAGTAATAACCTGACAGCTGATAACCTTACTCTACAGGTGAATCATCGGAAGCTGCTGGATGGAATGTTTGCAGCGTGTGGTGTTCCAGATGACAAGTTCCGAACAATCTGCTCAGCTGTAGATAAACTAGATAAGGTAACATCGTTTACAGTATTTGCATTTTGCTGTCAAATAAACAGAAAGTCAAAACGTTATGTAGCTTTCGAATATATACCATAACTTTCTCGGTTTGTGTTTTAAACTTCGTTTTTGATAAGGGTATTATATAAGTCATTTATTATTTTATTATTATTATTATAGGATATTTATATAGCGCACATATCCACGCACTAGTGCATGCTCAAGGCGCTGGTAGATACATTTAGTTGTCTGATCAAGGCTGATGCCAGTCTCATATAGGAGGAATATGATTGAGTGGGTTGTTAAACAACAAAAAAGCTTCAACTGCCCTGACCAATGTTCGCTATTTATAGTAGATGATATATAATATTTGTAGACATTCTGGGATGATGTGAGGGCCGAGATGATTGATGAGAAAGGCCTGGATGCAGCAGCAGCAGACAAGATAGGAAGCTATGTCAGATACTCAGGTAACACTGTCTAGGGGCATTCATACACCTTGATACTCAGGTAGCACTGTCTAGGGGCATTGATACACCTTGATACTCAGGTAACACTGTCTAGGGGCATTGATGCACCTTGATACTCAGGTAACACTGTCTGGAGGCTTTGGTACACCTTGATACTCCGGTAACACTGTCTAGGGGCCTTGATACTCAGGTAACACTGTCTAGGGGCATTGATGCACCTTGATACTCAGGTAACACTGTCTGGAGGCATTGATACTCAGGTAACACTATCTAGGGGCCTTGATACTCGGGTAACAATGTCTGGAGGCATTGATACTCAGGTAACACTGTCTTGAGGCATTGATACACCTTGATACTCGGGTAACACTGGAGGCATTGATACTCAGGTAACACTGTCTGGAGGCATTGATACTCAGGTAACACTGGAGGAATTGATACTCAGGTAACACAGTCTAGGGGCATTGAAACACCTTGATACTCAGGTAACACTGTCTAGGTGCATTGATACTCAGGTAACACTGTCTAGGGGCATTGATATACCTTGATACTCGGGTAACACTGTTTTGGGCAATGATACACCTTGATACTCAGGTAACACTGTTTTGGGCAGTGATACACCTTGATACTCAGGTAACACTGTCTAGGGGCATTGATACACCTTGATACCTAGGTATCACTGTCTTGGGCATTGACACACCTTGATACTTAAGTAACACTGTTTTGGGCAGTGATACCCCTTGATACTCAAGTAACACTGTCTAGGGGCATTAATACACCTTGATACACAGGTAACACTGTCTTGAAGCATTGGCAAAATGGAAACGTGAGCATTACTGATTGAATTATGTTCCTTTGTAGGTGGCATTGACAAGATTGAGGAGCTGTTGGCGGACGAGGTCCTGAAGGGTCAGAAGCTGGCTGTGCAGGGCCTGGAGGAGCTGAAGCTTCTGTTGCAGTACTGTGACCTGTTTGGGATCTCCAACAGGGTGAGTCCTTCTTGCTTCATAGTGCTGCCTCACAAGTGCCTGAAGGATCCAAGGTCCAACTCTTCTTATTGGATAATGCTACCTCACCATTACATGAAGGATCCAAGATCCAACTCTTCTTATTTCATTGTTCTACCTCACCATTACATAAAGGATCCAAGGTCCTTTCTTCTTATTTCATTGTTCTACCTCACCATTACATAAAGGATCCAAGGTCCTTTCTTCTTATTTCATTGTTCTTACTCACCATTACATAAAGGATCCAAGGTCCTTTCTTCTTACTTCATCGTTCATGACTTCCCCACTCAGATTGCAGAACTGTTGGTATGATATTTGCAACATATCAACCACATTTGTTTTGTCATCTGCTATTTTTTAGTGAATGAGACAAATGTACAAAGTGGATAAAAATACTCAGCAGCAAAAAAACGTCAGTACGAATTCAAAATTAGATAGGCACTGTAATCAAATCATTACAGAAATGGACATAATAAGCGGATCAAAACCATTTTTTGTGTACAATATCTTGAGACATCAATGAATAACTCAGCACAATTTGAAGACATTACGTGAACGTTTGCAATCCATTCAGACTCTTGACTTCAGTATCTAGTGTGACCACCACAAGCGGCAATAACTGCAGCACAGCGTCTATGCATGGAGTGCACCAATCGAGTGATGAAGGCCATTGGCACCTGGAATCACACTCTGAGGACGGCCTGGCGCAATAGATCAGCTGTTTTCGGCCTTGGTATGACATTATCCCCTGAATTTCATCCCAAAGATGTTCAATTGGGTTTAAATCAGGACTAAGGGCTGGCCACTGCATAATGTTGACACCGTTTTGCTGTAGGAAGTCCCGTGTAGCTCTGGCAGTATGGGGCCGGGCTTTATCATGCTGGGAAATGTTGTTCCGGTGACATGCGAAATGTGGTATGACGTGGGGTCTGAGAGCTTGGTCGATGTAGTTCACCGCTGTGATGCCGCCTCCTCTACCTGGACCAAGGTTCTGGAACACCACAGGACCCACTCTCTGGTTCAGGCCTATTCCACCCCATACCAAGATGCTTGCACCTCCCCATGTGTCTCTTTCCATAACACATTGGTCTGAGTAATGCTGGCCACGTCGTCGCCATATTCTTGTTCTGCCATCTGCAGTTGATACGCAGTACCGACTCTCATCTGTGAACAGAACAGTTCTCCATTGCCTGGATCGCCAGTTTTGGTGTTATAGGGCAAACAGTAGAAGTTCAAGTCGACGACGAGGGGTGAGGATAGGTCCACGGTAAGGTCTACGGCAATGGAGGTCCCCGCTGTTAAGATGTTGGTGTACTGTATCAGTACTGATTGGTCTTCTGTGTGTTCCCACTGTCTGGCATGCTGTTTCGGATGCCTGCACGAAGGGATTCTGTACATGCTGTCGCACATCATGGAGTTCTTGTCTTGTGGAGCTGTCTGCGGGGCGATCATTTGTGGTGTTGGTGGCCTGGCGGCATCCTGCTAACGTTGTAATGTGAATGTTTCAACCAGGTTTGGGGGTGCATTTTATAGGGCTGGTCCTTGTGAACAGCACGTGCAGCATGAGTTGCATGAAAAACATGGAGAACACCGTACCATCTCCGAGATCAGGTTGTGTTTTTGAGACCATTTCCTGGGTTCAATTCTGAGTTTGGGAAGGAATGTCTTTGCTCAGGTAAAGTTGGAAATGTTGTCAGAAAAATATACAATCAAAACATTAAATGAGTTTACAGTTTCTGCGAAGGAATATTCCAAACGTTTCTTTGCTGCTTAGTATATATGAAGTGTTTTTCAATTCAGTCCCAAACACAAATCCACAAGACATGAAGTAGTGGCAGTTTGTCCCCAGTTTCAGCTAATGGTTGTGATTGATATATGACATTTCGGTGTTGCAGGTTCTTTTCGACCTGTCCTTGGCTCGTGGACTGGACTACTACACAGGGGTCATCTACGAGGGAATCCTCAAAGGTCAGTTACAGTGGAATTATTCCCTGAATCTCAGAAAATGACGTCCTTTGTATCAGTTACCCTCTCCAATTTGTGTGGGATGGGTGGTATTTTGTAGTATTTAGCCATGGAATGTTGGGATATTGTTCATATCTACTCACACACCATGACATGATTCAGGGTTTCATCACTTATGTTGGCCATAAAGATGACCTAATAGCTCTGGGATTTCGAAACAACTTAAGTTTTTCTCAAATATCAAACTGAGTTTGACAATTTGAAACAGCTGAATTTTGAACTAAGCTGCATTTTTTAAATAAAAAAGCCCAAAATACTTAGGTATTCTATTCACCAAACTCAAGTTGTCTACTATGTTTGAGTTCAATATCGATTTCAGTTCATTCTGGGAAATGCATTTTCTCAAATTTGATTAAAAATTTGAACTTAAGTCAAAACTCAGACTTAAGTTTGTTTTGAGAAATCGGGGCCTGGTGATCTGGCTCAGGGGATGTCTATTCCAGATCCTATTATCTGTCACTTTGTGGAATATGGCTGAGAACCATGTTAAATATCAAACAACAAAACCACCATGAATGGCTCGAATAATAATCCTTGAAAATGGTGCCACCTGATGGTATTGTAGCAAAAGAGTGTGGCTATCCATGTTGTTGTGTGACTTACAGGTCACACCCACAAGCCCGGTGCAGATGGGGAGGAGAACGTAGGAGTGGGGAGCGTGGCAGGAGGCGGACGGTATGATGGGCTGGTGGGCATGTTCGACCCCAAGGGCAAGATGGTGCCGTGTGTTGGTGTGAGCATTGGCATTGAGAGACTCTTCTCTATAATGGAGGCCAAGGCACTGGTGAGTAGACATTCCGAAACTTAGCCTGCTGATAGTAAATTACTAGTTATGCTATGACATTACTTGATTCTCAGACCCTGTCACTATGAAAGAAAAGTGGTACATTGACATAAAAATATTGGGGCAGGCTTAGAAGCAGACAAGACAGAAGCAAGTATTTGTCAAACATTTAGCAAGTAGATTTAATCAAATTTAGACACTCTAGTTAAGAAATTGTGTCATGGTATTCAGTTAAAAGGAAACTTCATTATAATTTTAATGAAGTCTAAATTCTTACAATTTAAAATAAGTCCAAGTTTGAGTTATTTGACAGAGTATAGGTTGGTGTAGCTCTGTTCTGTCATAGTGTGTTGATGATGTTGAGGGTGATATGACTGTTTGTGTAGGCCTTGGATCAGAAGATCCGGACGACCGAGACCGAGGTGTATGTGATATCAGCTCAGAAGAACCTGCTGGAGGAGAGGCTAAAGCTGTGCCGAGAACTGTGGACTGCTGACATCAAGGTAACTGCGACTCAGCAGATAGGTCAGGGGTTGTAGAGTATGTGAAAGGTGCCAGTCTTAGGGCAGACAAGGGCTGATGTATCCCTGCATTTTTGTATTGGAATTCAGAGGCATGTAGAACCCTAGTACAGATTAGTAAAGATTATTAAACGTGGTCACTATGGCTACTGGGTATTGTTGCATAGCATCGAAAAGGAACAACTCTTTCTTTGGGTTTTACATTGTTCCCACAACTGGAAAAATTTTCAAAGCAGTTGACCCAAACTCTCTCAATCTCTCTACAGGCAGATGTCACCAGTGGTTGTTATGACAGTATTGATCATTGACTTGATCTTACAGGGATGGTTATTATGGCTACCACGATAGCTGTACAGACTCCCATGACAGCTTTACTGTAACATGGCTGATATAGTCGTACTGTGTTCTAGCAAAGCTGTTGTGCATCCTGGTGCTGCACTGATAGCTGTCACACTATTGACCACTGGTTTAGTCTGTAATGTAATGTTTGTGTGTTAGACTGAGAGCTCCTACAAGAGGAACCCCAAAGCCCTGGACCAGTTCCAGTACTGTGAGACCAACAACATCCCACTTGCCATCATCATTGGACAGTCGGAGATTGAGGCTGGCATCATCAAACTCAGGGTCGTCGCAACCAGACAAGAGGTCAGTATGCAGCTATTTCACCTGAACATTACATGTTTCCAAAGTTCTTGCCAACATGTATAAGTCAGGGATTAAGATTCAGGGCCTAGATTTTCAAAGCTCTCTTAGCACTAAGATAGTCGCAAGCGCCATTCATTAACATTGACTTACGACTATCTTAGCGCTAAGAGAGCTTCGAAAATCTAGGCCCAGGGGATCAGGTGGTTATGTGCCCAGGGTCGGTAGTGTAGTGGATAAAGTGTTTGGTGGTCATACCAATGGTCCAAATTCAGTTGGGGCGGTGGGGTAGCCCAGTGGTTAAAGCATTTGTTCGTCAAGCCGAAGGCCCATGTTTTATTCCCCACATGGGTCACAGGGTAAAATGCGTGAAGCCGATTTCTGGTGTCCCCCACTGTGATATTGCTTGAATATTGCTAAAAGCGTCGTAAAACCCAACTTGATTCACTTACTCACCGAATTCAATTTTCGACATTGGTGCAGTATGTAAAGTTCATTTCTCGTGTCTGGCTGTGATACTGCAGAAATGTAAAGCAGCATAAGACCCAATTAACTCAATAATGGACCTGTTGCCCATGCTATCACCCACCAGTTTGGACTGTTACGTTAATCATGTGATAACAACATTCACTCACACTCATTGTGTTACTTTCAGAGGGAAGTACCACGAGGAAGCATGGCCGAGGAAATCAAGAAAGAGCTGGAGAAAATAGGCTCAAGTTGAAGACGGGGCTCACTCTAGAAATATCAGATATCAAATTGTGTTGGATGAAATATCCACATCTTGTGCTAATCTTTAGTTATGAATATTGTTACAATCTTGTTAAGGACTGTGAAAGGCATAAGTATTGATTAATTGATCTAACAGACATTTGTGATGACAATATCGTCCGTCATCATCTGTCGTGTATGAAGAGCACCAAGTATTGATTAATTGATATACGACACATTCGTTTCTATCTGCTTGGTGATGATGATAAATCATGTGATCTGCTTCACATGTTGTGTAAGACTTGTGAAAATGATGGACTACTATTTATTATGTCTTTGTGTACCGGTATGTATCTTGAATGTCTGACCTGACAACTTAATGACACTTGTATACCATATTCCTTGCATTAAACGGCGCTCCTCCGTTCAGTGCCCAAAACCAATGTAATCCTCATAAGTACTCTGCTCAAAAATAAACATGATCATCCACATTTTCTTATATGTATGCAGAAGGCCCTTAGTGACTATTTGTAAAATGTTTGTTTCATTAGAGTTTGTCTACTGCTTGATCTACAACAAATTCAATTTGTTGTGTTGGGTTTCAGTGAGCACTTCCTTTGTAAATTCTCTGGGCACCTGGCGTGCTTATTACAGACAATATGGTATGCAAAAGGTTCCTAGTCTTTTCTAGTAACTAAAACATCACATTTTTTGCCAGACTAACAAAAATAATGTCATGTTCAGGTAATACATCGAGGAAGCTTTCTGTTCAGGCATCAATGATCTTGTAAAATAAACCCACCCTATGAACACTCAGTTTTTCTTTTCTCTGACCACCTGACAGTGAGGGTTACATCTTGCTGAGCGTGCTGTAATTTACAAACACATTGATATTGGTATGGAATTGAAACTCAGCTTACGAAATCAGATACATCCCTGATGGCTATGAAATACAGTCATTCCTCGCAATAACGCTCTTCACAATACCGCAGATTTGTTTAAACCGCAGTGTAATCCGTGGTTCCCATAAAAAAAAGTTGCCCAGCGATCACACATCTTCACGTCATAGAAAATAGCACTTCCGATGTGACTCAATCACTATAAGGGGCTATCCGTGAAGATCCAAGAAAGAATTGATCTACAGTAACTATTGATGTCGTAAGAAGCGACAGACGGATCGGGTGGTCAGGCTCGCTGACTTGGTTGACACGTCATTGTATCCCAATTGCGTAGAACGATGCTCATGCTGCAGACCACTGGAATATTTACAGACCACTGCCATATAGCTGGAATACTGCCGAGTGCAGCGTAAAGCCAAAGTCCCCCACACACCCTCATCACATCAATAGGTTTGATTCCCACATGGGTACAATGTATGCAGCCCATATATGATCACCTGTGATATTACTGGATAATTACCCTAACATATTTGAAATAAACTATTCCTTGACACATCCTAATTGCAAACCATCATCCTCTCTGCCTCAAGAAACAACATTTCAAACATTATATTCTTTATTGAAAAGATAATTGGTAGGATGAGACATCCCTGTATCACAGCATTTGAGGTTTCAGATACTTACAAGACAGACAAAAAACATGACATTTCCCTATTGTGGCGTTGGTAGCCAACGCCATGAAACCCTCTCAAACTGTCTGAACACCAGTCACGTACATACACAGACGCACACAACTCACGACACTGGAGCAACAGACACTGAACTATATCATCATATCTATGTACAATTGACACACCCACTCTCATCCAAACAAACTATGTTTGTTAATAGACTTGAACCAGGCATGTTAAAACAATGGAATATTAAAATGTACTGTTTAAGCTTGGATACAACATATGTGAGTGTAAAATATCTAACAGCAAATTTAAATTCCCCATTATGCAAAATTTGCAGTTTTGGTTTGTACGAGGGACATCTACAGACAGCGACCAAGGGATATATTTTGAGAAAGTAGCAAAGCATGATACCCCAACTTTGAGCACTCACTGATGCAAATACTGACAATTCTACTCAGCATTGTTTCTAGAGCAGGACCACCTCTAGATGCTGCAGGGCTAGTTAGCACTTTTCAAACAGTTCCTATAACTGTCTATAAGTGGATACAAGATGAAGTTGATTTTGTCGTCTCTCAATCAGAACTTTTGATCATTGACTTATGATCTCATTATATATATATCACTGATGTTACATATACTTACATCTGTGAATATTATCTCGGATATTATCATCATCGTAAAAAACAAATGGATATTACTTATCATTTCATGCCTTGAAGCGAATAAAATCTGCAATGACCTGGCCAACAAAGATAAAGGTTTCTCAGTGTCAAATATGGATTGCACTTTTGGTTGATTTCTTTGTGGGCAGAGCACTAACACCTGGTCCTGATTCTACAGCAAGCATTCGGTATACATCCACGATGAGCCATCGTACCATCCAGTATATCGGATGACTTGGGACTAGTCTCCTCAGTATTTGAGTATGGTTCTTTCTTGGATGACGACAAACACTGACAGCTTCCATATGTACAGCAATAAAAACAAGTTTCAAAGTTAAGAATGTATGATTCTTTGCCACGTCTAGAGTGTAAGTGAATTAGAACACACATCTAGAACATTGCACTTCACGTCTCAACTAGAGCGTATGTGTAGTACGACATACGAATCGCCTAAGTATGTGCGAAATAATGCACAGTTTATCTAGAATGTATGTGCATTTCGACACACACCACATCCAAGAGCAAATTCCTCCCCAGTGGGTGGATGTTGTACATGGAGAGGGCACTCGTCTCCTTCAATCTGCTTCCCACGAGGACCTGACAAACAAATTAGCAGACATTAGTCCTAGATAATCATCAACCTGCAACATATATACTAAGAAAAGACTCATAAACAATAAATTCTTTGTTCATTTTTCATATAGTTTTGATATATATGAGCTTGGTAATTAATATAGGCTTTTTAATCAAACTGTTCAGGACATCCGTGTAGATCAGTATTTTAAGATGTTCTGTATGCCACAAACAGTAAAAATTGTTTTGATAATTAAATTCTCTCAATATTTTATATTGACTGAAAGGCTGGAATAAAACACTGTCTTACGTGTTTTTAAAAAACTGGAAAACTTCGGGCATCAAGTTATTCAACGGACAAGAAGCAGTGGCAGTAGACCATTTTGGGGTTTCTATCCCAAACCCAATTTAATCAACATGTACATGACATGTAGGGAGGTCACTTACTTTGTACATAAAATTTAGAAGGGTCATTCACATTGTATACGTGCCTCTCTATAAAAATGATCACACACACGCACACCCAAGCCATAAATTATGAACGGTCCCTTATATCTTTCCATAATACACAAAACTAATTCTTATAATATGTCAAGAGTATACACAGAATGATATTTGGTTATCCCTAACAAAAGTGGAGTGGTATTATATAATGACTACGGCCCAAATAGCTGACATTACCTGCAGGACAGTTGGGCAGGTCTGTCTTCGGGATGTTCGTAACCCTCTGGAAGTCATCATGGCATGCGTTACAGAAGTGGGTTGTCCCAAAACAGAAGAAGACGGCCACAGAGCAGCAGTAACGACATTTGTACTCCAGAAAATCTGTTCCATGCTTTGGACACATCTGAAAACCCAAATTGATATAATATGCACCCCAATGTCTTGTCGCAAGAATGAAAGTCTGCTCTATTTTGCAGTGAAATCCTTTAAGAGAATAACATTGAAAGCCATTTCTCCCAATCACCACCGATCACCACCTACCTGAGCCCTGGACACGTCCGAGCAACCTCCACACACCAGCTCCCGGGGGTCATAGTCATCCCCACCACCACCAGCCTGCTCGTCACATCTCGCCTCACCCCCATAATAGGCCTGAAGAATCAGAAGTGCAGGAAATTATGCAAAGTGAAATGAGACTCAGAATTTTACAAACAAGATACTCAAACTTAATATGAATCTTTACACCAGCATCAACCTATCAGACACACCATAACATTTAAACTTCTACTGGGTCCTGGTGGTCCTTGAGGTTTGCTACAGCATCACTTGAAGCAAATGACCCTTAAATATGAAAGTCTTAACATCAGGGTTTTAACAACAACCCAAAGAAGTTTGGACAATTCATTAGTCCTTGAAAAAACACCTCCAGGAAGTCCAAAAAATAGGATCTGACACATCTTGGCTGATACACAATACAAAAGTCATTTTAGGAGGATTACAAGCAAAGAACTCAAGTCACCTGTAATAAGACATTCTTGGCATGTTTCAATGTAGAAAAAATAGACCTACTGCAACTACAAAGATCAGTATCTGACAAATTTCATCCAATACAAAAGACTTAAAGACATGCATGATCCTGACTTCCAGGTAGGACATGTCAAGAAGTAAACTGCAACTACCGCCTGCTAGTAGCACTCACCTTCTTGCACTTAAAGCAGACATAGTAAGCATATCTGTCCATGGCAAATCCAGCAGGGTCCCCAAAGAATCGAGCCCCTCGAGTGGTGATGACCTCGGCCTTGTGCAGGCCCTCATACTCCAGCCTCATCAGGGCCTTCCGTCTCACATCCTCAAACAGCTCCCTGATGGGGTCCAGCAGGCTCTTCAGCACTGGATGCTCAATGTTGTTCTGTACAACAAACACCAGCATCACAGTAATCCATAGCGGACTATCTTAGGGTACTATATATAGGTACAGTACTAGTTGTGTGAACAAAGGGTGAGGATCAACCAAACCATAATATTCTGGAAACTGATGCACTGCATCTCAAGACCTGTTATCAGTCTTTTATGACAGAGTCCAGCCAAAATACTTGATTCATATGAACAGGACATGTGTGACTGATAATGGTTTTACACAGTTTTAGCAATATTCCAGCAATAATACAGCAGCAACACAATAAATGGGCTTCACATATTGTACCCATGTAAGGGATCATGCTCACAAACACATTGAATAGTTGCACACAATAAAGATGTCTTTGTATTGATGATTCTCCCCAACTCCAGTATGAGCTTTCATCTCTAATGAACTGGCCTGGTTACTAACCTTGCAGATTGGGCAGAGCGAGAAGCCGAACGTGATGCGTGGACCAATCCAGCGTTTCTCCAGGATCTTCTTGCCACAGTGCATGTGGAAGACATGCCCACACTTCAGCTGCAACAGCACAAAGTCAGATGAACACAAGTACACAATATAGAAAGACTGGAGGTGCATGATCGTAATATTCTGGCTATATCAGACATGATTATTATCTGGACTAGATAACCCGACAGTTGCTTCGATTTCCATTGTCTTCAATGATTTTTTATCAACTTCGTCCCTACATCATGGATGAACATAGGATAACCATGGACACAAAGGTTGTGAAATATTGATGATGAACATCCCTATCTTTGAACAAATTGTCCAACAGTCGGCCACATCTGGTCATCCTGCATCTGCGGTGTCACGACTTTAGTTCATGCATGATTCACTTCTCAAACCAAAAGTGCAAATAAAGGATTGCAGAAGACCCAGCTGATCAAAATGCTTCAGAAAATTCAATGTACTGGCCCTTCAAAGGACACAATTCTGCATATACAAATATGTAACAAGGCCAATTGTGTCACTAAGCTGTTCGGGTCACAAGCAAATATGACTAGTACTACAGTAATCTAAACTGCATGGACGTACCAGTATGGCAGGAGAGGCCGACAGCCTTCGGTGAAGCAGATCATGCACATGTCATCTGAGTCCTGCTTCAGTGGGGGCTGGTTGGCAGACTGACACCCTCGGAGGCACGGCAGACACGGGTCCTCGTTCTTGATGCCACAGCAGGGGTGGCCACATGTCAGCACCTTGGTGCAGGCGTTGCGGGCGTGTTCCTGGAGGAGTCAGTAACATGAGTTGGGAGTCATAGTCATTATTACATAAGTCCTTCACACATAATATCTGACCATGAAATTGTTACTCCAAAAGGGATTTACCTGGAGTCCTGTATTTGAGGGTCCCTGGGACTCAAACACTTAATTTTCAGGGGTCCTGGACAACAAAATGGGGGGTCCCAGACACTTAAATATTATTATTAATACTGTTATTGTATTGTGTATCATGATCATCACATTGTTACAGTAATTGAATTGCAAATGATACCATAACCCAGTTAGTAGCAAACTCAGTGATAACTTATTGTTACTTGATTGGAACTTTTACAAAAAGTATTTGGACTTTTTACATCCCTGCTCCAAATATCCAGGTCTTAGTTAATCCAAGTTAATGTCATGGTCTCATCAGATTCCTTTCTCTATTTTGATCTAATACTGGCACTCTTAGAGCTATGGACAACATTTGTAATGAAGTATCCAAATGAAGATGTACGGGTTCCAATCACATTTATCATGTTCAGGCCAATCTGATAGCAGAACTCACTCCCATATATCTAACAATTAATGGTGCTTCAGTGTATTTGATGTCTGCTTGCTCATTTGATTGTTTGTTTGTTTGTTGTTTAGCACAGCAGTCTGCAGTGTTTAAACTATATGACCTGTAAATAATCACGTAAGGACAAAAGACAGTGACTGAAATGATCTACATCCTATGACATCACCATATGAAGATACACTATCAACCAAATCAAGAAACTTGACCAACAAATCCATTCTGCCACCCCATGACAAATGTTTCTGATGACCTACCCCAACCCAGAAACCCCTCAGGGTCTGAATTTGCTAAATGGTATGCTTCCGACCCCAGCATCTCACTCACCTGGCAGTCAGGATCGGAGCACACATTGCCTATAGCCAGCATCCCTGTGTTGCTGGTGGTGCCACAGAACCTGCAGGTGCCAGGGCCCACTGTAGCAGTGTTGGACACCTTGCCTGAAATGTCACCATCAAATTATACAACACTGCAGTGTGAACGTAGAACTTATTTGTAAGCTGTCCTTCAGTATTAACAGAGGCCTGCATTGTAGATTATCATACTATTATATGATGAAGACTAACTGCACAGCCTTTGAACTTTATGAAGCAAGTGAACAGATGAAAACAAGCATACTAAAATGTGACATGGGCAGACAAAATATGAATAACAACACCTTGCAAACCATGTGGCTTTTAGCGACTGTCTACTTCTCTCATACAGACTATGAAACACAAATATTCAAAAACATCCTCTTCAAGCCTAAAAACATAGGCAAGTCCGGCAACTCCATCAACTTAAAAAATCTGCTTAAGAAGAAGAACAACAATTATTTACCTTCTCTGAACTCCACCATGGCTTTGAGTGTTTTTGAGTCAGCTAGAGCCATCACCCAGAAGAGTTTTGTCCGACCACACCCTTCATGGAGGTCCACTTTGATAGCTTCTTCCTCTTCTTTGAACACCTGATAGAAACTTGTCTGTATTAGATACTGGAACTCCAACATGTTGAGGTCAGGCACATATACTTCATAAATTCTGAGCCAAGTTTCATAATCTGACATCTAGTGACCTTGACCTTTTACTGATGGAGGTCATTTGACTAAGTAGTCAAGACCAATCCCTAATACTATACCAAGTTTCATCTAATTGCAACACTAAATACTGGAGTTATCATGTACACAAAATCTGTTAAGCCTACTTCATAAATAATGACCTTGACCTTAAATGTCGTCCAATCATATGTCAGGAAATTCCCAGAGGTTACAGAGGTGAACAAGCTCACCTTTGACTGAGCATACATAAAGCCTCCATACGTGAGGGTGCCTTGAAAGAATATTTAATGATGAATTTCCTGTTATGTTGAACAGATATAAGTGTACTTGAAGTGGGCAAGTAGCGCCTGCACCAACCTGTCTCTGATGTGTTCGAGTCCTGTGATGGAGATGGAGATAGCGGTCACAGTCAGCACACAAGTTCCCGCACTCGCTACACAGGATGATGGCTGGAGTCACCCCATCGTCATGGTTATCACACGTCGGCTGGTAAACAAGACACATGGTCATGAGACATGGCTCAAGAGACTGAATGACATAGCGCAAGGGATTAAAGACTTGTCTAATGAAACTGACTGCGACATGGATCATGAAGTCAATTGAGATAGAAAGAGACACAGAACATGAGACCGAATGTGACATGATGCAAGGGGCTGAATGAAACACTGGTTCACAAGTCTGGATGAAACATGATGAAAGAGATTTGGTATATGATACTACATGAGATTTTGTTTTGGTTTGGTTTGTTGTTTTACACCATACTAAGCAATATTCCAGCTATATGGCGGCGGTTTGTAAATAATCCAGTCTGGACCAGACAATCCAGTGATCAACAAGATGAGCATCAATCTACGCAATTGGAATACAATGACATGTGTCAACCAAGTCAGCAAGCTTGACCACCCCATCCCATTAGTCACCTCTTACAACAAGCATGGGTTGGTGAAGACCAATTCTAACCCAGATCTCCAGAGGTTGAATACATGAGACAATGGGCTTGAGGCTAGATGTGACAGTGTGCATGAAATAATATTGGGGCCATCACTGACCTGTTGCAATAATACTCTGTATATGAGACCATGATGCTGACACTTGATATGTTAAAGAAAAACAAAAACAAGACAAGACATAAACAAAAAGAGGCCATGACCCTGTAATGCCAAAATATCGCATAAACGACTGCTCTCAAACATACAGTGATAAATATTCCAGTAATCAGTGGACAAGACTCCTTACCCTGGGCTGACCATGTTGACCGTCAGGACTGGCCACCCACTCTCCAGACGACAGCCGCTCCACATGGTCCGGGTCCAGCACACACAGGGAGGACACGGCCAACCACAGCTGCAAAACACAGGGTCACACATACACACACACATACACACCACAGGCAGGGTTCGAACTGTAATGATGTTAAACATCACTGCTGTGATGACTGCCCTAGATCAGTTGCCATAGAATGGACCCATTCCATTAAGGTGCTTCAGTCTTCATAAATATATACCATGAATACCATTAACCAAACCAACAAAAGTATTGCTATTGAAAATAATTGAGACAGCAAAAATCAGTTTTCTCTGATTTTAAAGATTATTATTCGAGGCAAACAAGCAATCAATGTTTAGCATATGTGTACAGTAGTTTTCTTAAACTAGCTGATCATTGTCGAAACTTTGTTAAAGCTCGATGTGTGAATGTTTTTCACAAAGGGGAACTTGAGGCTCATGTTGCCTCCTGTCCCCAGATCTGATCATATACACTCACTGTTGGTGTTTTCACACAGGTTTCAGGTGCTCTGTGGGGTTCATCCAGTTTGGTCAAATTCAAAATGGCCTCAGCAATAGCTGCCTTTGTCACTGCAGCCCACGTCTCAGATAACTTGCCCTGAAGATGGAATCAAAGTTGATGAGTAAACTGACCGGCTTGACTTCAGGGAGACAGTGAAGCAAGCCTGTATGACTATGTGAGTGTAGTGTGACTGTAAGAGCGTCATGTGACAATAGTGTCGTATTAAATGGGGGTAGTGTGACTGTGGCAAAGTAGTGTGAGAGTGCAGTGTGACTGTACAAGTGTCATGTGACTATGTGAAGGTGTGACAGTAGTGTGAAAGTGTAGTGTTACAGAGTGAAAGTGTTGTGTCACTGTACGAGTGTCATATGACTGTGACCAAAGCGTGGTGATGTGAGGGGTAGTGTGAAAGTGTTGTGTGACAGAGTGATAGTGTAGCATGAGAGGCCAGTGTGTGAGAGCAGAGTGACTGAAAGGGTGTCATGTGGCTATGTGACGGTAGTGCGGTTGTGTGAGAGTGTTGTGTGAGGGACTGACGGAGTAGACAGTGACTGTGTGAGAGTTCAGCACGAGTGACTTACCGCCGCCATGTCCTGTATGAGGGAAATAATGGTGCCAGCCAGTGCCGGAGACATCAGTCCTCTCATCCACCACCGAGCACCATGTGGCCTGAACATACACATACACAACAATAGTACAAGCCAGTTCGGGAATTTCTTTGTATCAGAGTATGACATCATTATAATCATTTTGAATAACATCTCATTACATGACAAACCAGAATGAGATAGAGATTACTGTTGCAGCAGCTGAACTATTCACATAGCAAGGTGATGATGAATCTGTCTCTCCAGTATGGTTTTACCCCACTTTTATCAATATTCTGGTCATACCATGGTAGGACACCAGAAGTGGGCTTCACTCATTGTACTCATGTGGGGAATAAAACCTAGGTCTTTGTCATGTCTTGCTTTAACTAACCTAGCCCTCAACCCCATGTTCCATTTCCACTACTGACACAATTACGTACTGGCCATTGCACACTTCTGACGCTACTGGAATATGAATTGGACACACAAACAAAACATTATGTGAACAGTATAAAATGATCAGACTTTGTTTGGCACCTTGACACAAATTACAGAGTTTTATCTATTATGAGAAAATAATAACTGGCTACTTACTCAGTCGATGGTTGATCATGTAGACTTTCTGACAGTGTGCGAGTGGTGACGCCCTTGTGTGGACCACTGCTCTTCACCTTGGTCTGAACATCAAGGGCCTTGCTGATACAGGCAAGGAACACATCTAGGATTCCTGTGAATATCATCATTAAACTATCATTATTAAGGAATAATTCAAACTGTACTTCCATATTTCACGCATGGGTACTGAAATATTCGATGAATGTCACTACAATGTCAATGTGTCACTTACCTGGGGTGTCTGGGTTAAAGTTGGCGTCTCCCTCCTCACGGGTTGCCACCGACACGATGCTGTAGTCTACCGGAGGCAGGGCAGGGATGGACAAGATCTTAGCCAAGATCTGAGGCTTCACCTCTGGCAATACTCGTCGCAACACTGAGGTAACCTGGAGGGAAAAACATTAAAGGTTTAAAAATATTTTTATTTAAGATCAGTAAAATGCACAGGACACCATTACCCTTTTTAACCCCCAAACAAATGTTTTCACACCAAGATGTCACAATTCTGACTTTGAGCATTCAGTTTTTTAAGTCACTGATGGGTGAGAAACAAATGTTCAGCTTGAAAACCTGTCTTAGGTAGATATTACTGTTGCTTTGTACTGCAAATATATGGTCAGGGGTATAACAAATCCACATTTTACTCCCACTCATGAACCATAATGACAACTTCCTACCACAACAACCACACCATCAGCAAGTTCGATGGTTTGCTGTTTCCACACTCAGCAATGTTCTGAATCACAATATGGCTGAAATACTGCCAATGTGACTATACATTTTAACTCAGCCTAACTCAGCAATGTTTCAGCTACTCCACCTATGTCTATGTGTGTCACTTGATGTAGGATGGACCCGTGAACATCTTGGTAAGACTTGGTCTTCAGCAACCCATGTTTGTCATAAGGTGAGGTGACTAACGAGATCGGGTGGTCAAGCTCGCTGACTCAGTTGACACATGTCATCAAGTCATCGTATCCCAAATGTGTACATCGATGCTCATGAGTGAGTGAGTCTGTACTGACTGACTGAGCTTTTAGCAATATTCCAGCAACATCACGGCGGGGGACACCAGAAATATTCTAGTACCCATATCGAATGGCGGCGGTCTGTAAATAATCGAGTCTGGACCAGACAATCCAGTGATCAACAGCATGAGCATCGATCTACGCAATTCGCAACCGATGATATGTGTCAACCAAGTCAGCGAGCCTGACCACCCGATCCCGTTAGTTGCCTCTTACGACAAACATGGGTTACTGAAGATCAATATTCTAACCCAGACCTTCACGGGTCTCGATGCTCATGTTGTTAATCACAGGATTCTCTGGTCAATTATTTACAGACCTCTGTCATATAGCTAGAATATTGCTGAGTGCGGCGTTAAACAACAACCAACTAACTTGATGAAAGGATGAAAGTCCAGAGTGATGCAGGTCTTAGGCAAACATAATAAGCACCAGTAAGGATTAAAGGACATTTCTGGCTAAGGGAAGGAAGTCTGCAAGCAAATCGTGGCACTAGGGTATCCGATGCTCCACAGCATGACTGAAGAATGATGAGGAAGTAGTTACCTGTCTCTGTATCCTGGGTGTGGCAGTGTGAAGGAGGCCAAACAGGTCCTGTATGAGGCCATATTGCTGGGCCAGGTAGATCCGCCCCACATTCGACCCGCTCAGTGCCAGCACCATCGACAACAACTCAAAACAGTACACATCCGATGACCTGCAAGTGGACAATGTATATTGTAGGTACATTTTCTATTTTCATTTCTATTTTCAAGGAATATGGAATCTGTTAGAAATCCTTTGGTTAACCAGCCATGCCCATGGTGAGGTGCTAACATATTAAAGACCACATAATGAAGAATCTAGTATATGATTCCCCAGGTTTTGAGACTACACTACATACCTGTCTATATCCAGGATCTCCCGAGTGACGTGTGTGAGGGAACTCTCCCACTCCTCCCGGATACGAGCAGCCTCCTTCCTGATTCCCTGCACGATGTGGGAACACACCTGGCAGAGAAACAGTCACACCATGTAACTATTATGTTGTAATCACATAGAAACATTCACACAACGTAACCATTATGTTGTAATCACGTGGTAAAATTGATTAAATAAATGTAGGGACATGAAGAACAGAATATGTAAACAAGATTTTTAAAAACCCAACACCAGTGTTAAAAAATTTGGCATAGAATGATTCACAATTTCACACTTTATGCACTCGTCACAGACAAAGACTAAAACCACTGGACTAGCATGCTGCCCCTAGAAATAGGTGAGTGAGTGAGTCAGTCAGTACGGTTTTACGCCATTTTTAGCAATATCCCAGCCATATCACGGTGGGGGACACCAGAAATTGGCTGCACACATTGTACCCATGTAGGGTACCAAGTCCAGGTCTTCGGTGTGACAAGCCAACACTTTAACCTCTAGGCTCTCTCCTCTCCCCTTCCTTTGAAATAGGTGCCTACAAACAACAGATGAGTGACATGTTTAATGCCTCTTTGAACAGTATTTCAGGCTAAGGGGCTGACAAAGCCAACAATCTTCTACGGACAACAAATAACTTTGTGGCCTGACTTGAGATTCAAATGCATAATGTGCAGATCCTGGTTTAGCTAAGGAATGTCACTCCATGCAACCTTGTAACAATTTGGGGGGAAAAGAATATATAGTCCACAATTGTCAATGAGCAAAGTAAACAAACACTGCTATATTCAGTAAAACCATTCAGTATATGAGAATGACAAATGCCGTCAGCTCATCTCCAGGTGTCGGCCCTACCTGTTTCTGCAGGTGTGACAGCTTGCTGCGACTAAAGAGTATTCCCACCATGTGTTCCTTCAGGTCATTGTCCACATCCAGGGCATCGGACACATCCTTCTTCCCCTCCACATCATCGTCGTTCTCCTTCTCCGTGAAGATCAGCCGACCAAACACCTTCATAAAAGACAGACACCTGGTTAAAGATGTAATGCAGGTGCATCTCACAGAAACCTCAGTTTCAGTTTACAGTTCTTCTACAAAGCAATTGTCTTTTGTCTGTTAAAATCAATAAATACAGTAAACTAAGTTACTGGGAACCGATGACATGTGTCAACCAAGTCAGCGAGCCTGACCACCCGATCCCGTTAGTCGCCTCTTACGACAAGAATATGTAACTGAAGATCAATATTCTAACCCGGACCTTCACGGGTAGATGTATTTTTTAAGAAAACATACACCAAGTGGTCAAGACAAATAAAGACAGTTCCTTATATCTGTCAGCTTGTTACATCTGTGTTCATTAGAAACATAATTTACTAGACAAAAGATTACAAATATTTTGAATTAACCAAAAATAACAAACTGAAACAGACTATAGTTTCTGAGTATTTATTACTGAAATTAAATGTCAGAACTTAAAAGAAGCAAATAAACATCAATTTAGCAGAGATTTTACAAACCAAGTAAATCAAAGGGACACTACTCTTTGTCGTACCTGTGAGGTGAGTATCCTGAACACTCGAAGAGTCTCTGCCTCACAGTTGTATTCCTGCAGGTCCATGGCCGTCTTCTTGACAGGGAGATAGATGTCCTCATCGTCCTGGCTGCCCAGCACCTTGACCTGCCGCACACGGAGGCTCTGGTCCGAGCCCTTCATCTCCATCTGCAGGTGGCGGCACTGGGTCTCCTGCAGAGCACAGCTCACCCAACCCACATGGCGAGGCTCCAGCTCCACCTGAGTAGGGCACGGCTCCTGAAGCCCACCTGAAGATACATCTCCATCTTTATCAATCCAGGCACAGCAGCTCACCCAACCTGACCCCCCAGCTCACCCAACCCACATGGTGAGGCTCCAGCTCCACCTGAAGATACATCTCCATCTTTATCAATCTATCAACCTGACCCTGTAGGGCACAGCTCACCCAACCCACATGGCGAGGCTCCAGCTCCACCTGAAGATACATCTCCATCTTTATCAATCTATCAACCTGACCCTGTAGGGCACAGCTCACCCAACCCACATGGCGTGGGCTCCAGCTCCCACCTGAAGATACATCTCCATCTTTATCAATCTATCAACCTGACCCTGTAGGGCACAGCTCACCCAACCCACATGGCTGAGGCTCCAGCTCCACCTGAAGATACATCTCCATCTTTATCAATCTATCAACCTGACCCTGTAGGGCACAGCTCACCCAACCCACATGAGGCTCCAGCTCCACCTGAAGATACATCTCCATCTTTATCAATCTATCAGCCTGACCCTGTAGGGCACAGCTCACCCAACCCACATGGGCGGTAGGCTCCAGCTCCACCTGAAGATACATCTCCATCTTTATCAATCTATCAACCTGACCCTGTAGGGGCACAGCTCACCCAACCCACATGGCGGGCTCCAGCTCCACCTGAAGATACATCTCCATCTTTATCAATCCTATCAACCCCTGACCCTGTAGAGGCACAGCTCACCCAACCCACATGTAGGGCTCCAGCTCCACCTGAAGATACATCTCCATCTTTATCAATCTATCTTAGCTCCACCTGAAGATACATCTCCATCTTTATCAATCTATCAACCTGACCCTATGGCTGGGGCTCTAGCTCCACCTGAAGATACATCTCCATCTTTATCAATCCATCAACCTGACCCTGTAGGGCACAGCTCACCCAACCCACATGGCGCAGGCTCCAGCTCCACCTGAAGATACATCTCCATCTTTATCAATCTATCAACCTGACCCTGTAGGGCACAGCTCACCCAACCCACATGGCGAGGCTCCAGCTCCACCTGAAGATACATCTCCATCTTTATCAATCTATCAACCTGACCCTGTAGGGCACAGCTCACCCAACCCACATGGCGAGGCTCCAGCTCCACCTGAAGATACATCTCCATCTTTATCAATCTATCAACCTGACCCTGTAGGGCACAGCTCACCCAACCCACATGGCGCGAGGCTCCAGCTCCACCTGAAGATACATCTCCATCTTTATCAATCTATCAACCTGACCCTGTAGGGCACAGCTCACCCAACCCACATGGCGTAGGGGCTCTACCAGCTCTGACCTGAAGATACAGCTCTCCATCTTCTTTATCAATCTATCAACCTCACCCAACCCATGGTAGGCTCCAGCTCTCTCACCAGCTACATCCCAACCTATCACCATAGGGCAGCTCACCCAACCCACATGGCTCCAGGCTCCAGCTCCACCTGAAGATACATCTCCATCTTTATCAATCTATCAACCTGACCCTGTAGGGCACATGGCGTAAGCTCCAGCTCTACCTGAAGATACATCTCCATCTTTATCAATCTATCAACCTGACCCTGTAGGGCACAGCTCACCCAACCCACATGGCGAGGCTCCAGCTCCACCTGAAGATACATCTCCATCTTTATCAATCTATCAACCTGACCCTGTAGGGCACAGCTCTCCCAACCCACATGGCGAGGCTCCAGCTCTACCTGAAGATACATCTCCATCTTTATCAATCTATCAACCTGACCCTGTAGGGCACAGCTCACCCAGCCCACATGGCGAGGCTCTAGCTCCACCTGAAGATACATCTCCATCTTTATCAATCTATCAACCTGACCCTGTAGGGCACAGCTCACCCAGCCCACATGGCGAGGCTCTAGCTCCACCTGAAGATACATCTCCATCTTTATCAATCTGTCAGCCTGATCCTCCAATATTCTCATCTCTATCTGGAGATTGATTGTATTATCAGTGTCCAACTGTCCATAACCAAAGAATGAACTGCATTTGATATTAATTCAGTCCAACATTCAACTGGATGTGCAGTGCCTTTATGAATGAAGTGTAAGTTTAATTTCCAGTCATCAGTTGATTCCGAACATTACTAAAACATCAAATTCAAATAACTAAGAAGACCTCCATCAGAGAATACTGACAGTACAGGCAGGTCTGGTGACAGATGATTAATCATTACATGCTCACTATTCCAACATGTATTTTCAGTGAAAAGGATTTGTGTAACAAAAGAAATCTGCATTACAATCACCAGCCAGTTCTGTTCAGATACTCAAAATGAAATCAGGATCAGTTATACTTTGACAAACAGACATCAAATCAAACACTATGACACTATGACTGTACAAGCTGGTTGACTGACTTGTAAGGGATAAGATGTCGACTGGCCAGTGTGACAGCTGGATTTCATTATGAGTAATGCTAATAGACTAATGTCCCATTGCAGTTAAATTTCTAGTAAACATTCATAAGTCTGTGTTTAAAAATACATATGCACAAAATATAAGTAATATCAATCAGAAATTTTCAGAAAGTCTCCTTCCTTTGAATCGCAAAGATCACTGTTTACTGGTGACAATAATTTCAAACACCATCAAGACAATAATCACTTCAAGACCCTTTCAAAGCAGAATCTAGGGACAAACTCAAGGCCATTTCAAGTCTGTGTGAACCTTGATTTCTCACAACACAGCTCCTGAAGTGAAAGATATGAGTGCAGCTCCAGCTGTAATCTATCCAGAGTATTATGTCCTACCTGTCTGACTTTCTTCATGTCTTCTGGACAGGTTCCAGCACTGAAGTTCACCACCGACACCTTGTTCTGGACACAACAAACCATCACATCATTTAAAGATTACAGCAGGTCTAAACTTCATATATAACTGCCTCCGGTTTCCATTTTTAAATTAACAAATTGTCCAGCAATGAACATGACACCATCACAATATTATCAGCCCATTTTTTAGGCATTAACAAAATGTGCTACATTCAAGGAATGTCTTGTTATAGTATGTCTGCTTTGCACTAAAATCATTTCACTTTCATGAGACTTCTGCAAAGACATTTACCCAAACTGCTAATGGAACTGAAATGAGGTGAAAGATACAATTTGTCACATAAAGTTTGGAATAACAAAGGCAACAACAAATTGATTAACCTGCTGATGTATATATTTTTTGTACACAAGCATCTATGAGTTAAATCTAAATAATTAATGTAGGGATGAATGTTCTTGTAACAAAATGACATCCAACCTATTTCTACTAAATTCTAGGAAAAGCAGACAATGATATCATTAATGAGTGGTTATGTTAGGTATGGCTGGATATGTTATTAATAGTAATAAAACCTGTATAGTTTAAAGAAGTGCGTACCCCAATATCTCTTGTGTTGTCGATATGAGCGTACACCATCCTTGGGTCGGACTTGTTGGAGCATGTGATGTTGATCAGCTTCAGTTTGTTTCGGTCCTCATCCCCACTCTCCCAGAATGTTTCTGTAGAATTATCTGTAACAACACACACAAACACATCTGAACTTCACAGTAGCTATAGTTCGGGGCTCGATTTAAGAGATGTTAACCCACTTGCACCAGGTGCAACCTAAGATAAAAACCTAGTTGCACCAGTCAAATTCCAGTTGCACAGTTTTTATTGCAATATGTAATATCAGAAATATGCTTATGAATTATTTAGATGTTTTACCCACTAAAAAATTGACAAATAATTAGGTTGCACTTTGTAATATTGGGCTGCACCAGTGCAAGTAACAAAGCACTGTAGTTGGAGACTGAAAAAAACTTGACCTTACTGCTGACCCTCATAAATATGCATGAGTGGCATGCATTATGGAGGAAAATATACAGTGATACACATTGACCACTACAGTGAAACCAACTATCACAGATATGATGCCGACAAATTATGAAAACTAAGTGACGCAAGTAAGAACTAAGAATTCTCGATCACAGGTTTCTAACACAGCAAACTGTGGTTCCATGGACGATTGGACAAACTATGCCTCCCTGTTTTGCTAGATATATTTTGTATTTATACTGGACTACTGGATTTTTACCTGTTAGACTGGCAATCATTGCTTGTCGACTTGAGGCTTTGATTTCCGCTGATCCTGTGAGGTCCCGTAAACAGGACACCTTGAAACCAAGCTGCAAGAAAAACAGAGAGAGCTAAGAAATTGGGATTTCAAAAATGTGAAGGTAGAAAAGTCAATTAATGGGTTGAAGTTTAAACAATAGCTCTGTATGTAACATATATGTATGTGTTTTAAATGGTTTAACACCACGGTCAGCAATACTCCGGCAGAATTATGGCAGTCTGTAAATAACAACCCTGTGATTGGCATCATGAACACTGATCTATTCAACTGCTTCAGTGAAACGAACCACACGATCCTGTTAGTCACATCTTACAATAACTTTAATCATAATGCTCTTGTGACATAAATAGTTGAATATGTTTTGAAATGAGATAACCTTGCATTAATTAATTTTGAAACTTTCGGAAAGATTTTCATAATCTTAAATTCCCTGAAGCACAGGCATGATATTGACAAATCATATATCACAATCAAGGTGAATCAATTCAAATGCTTGATCAGCAAATCCTGACTAGGCTAAGGGACATAACTCTGCACAGTGTTTGGCAAATAATGTCCTATAGTCACCATAGGGAGAGTTTGACAAGGATGAAGTCTCATGAGAAAGCATGGATGATACCAAAAAATTAACATTTATGCTGTGGAATTATACAAAGAGTAATGAAATATGCTGTAATAATTTTCTTCAATGTGAACACAACCATTCCAAACAGAAAACACCGAATAGAAATCAAACTAAACAATGCTTGCAAAACTTCAAGAAAGACCCACTCACTTGATTTCACATAATTTCCCCCCAATTTTTTCAACAACAAAAATATCAAATTATGAATAAAACAAACGAGTACAACTGACTCCACAATTCAATGTTAACTGTTCCAAAATTTTGCCACAAAAGTCAAGCAGATAGTCCTCACCAACATCGATACCATCCACTGTCTCCCCTGAATAATAATCACACAAGAAATAGCTAGGTCCATCAGGTTTGCCTCACTAAATGATTTACAATAACCGAGAAGGATTACTTCATACAAAGGCCAAATTCATACAGAAACCAGCAAATTTATGAAGTGAAAACAGTCCAAAACAATGTCTAACATTTAGCTTAAAACGTTTTTTTTTAATTTTGACTATGATCAGTTGTAAAACTATATACACAAAGGAGTTAGTTCATTGTTAATGGTGCATTTCTTCAAGCAATAAATTCATCTACTTTCTATCTTGAAGGTGTAAATATATTTTTCTGAGTGTCTTGTAGAGTTATTGGTAAATGAATAGTTAAGAAAACTAATGCAGGGCCGTTATTCTCAAAACGTTCGTAGCCTTAACTTTGATCTTAGCCAATGTGTTAAGAATGGGCTTAAGAAGTTTGTAGGGCTACAAACGTTTCGAGAATAGCTAGCCAGGATCTTAAACGTTTGCATTTTCCTAAAACAATACCAAACACACTTTGGCCACAATTTAAACATGACGTAAGCCTGCATGGTACTGATGAGATCACAATCCAATGAAGAAGCTCCACCATGCTAGTGTACTCACCTGTGAGGCATCTATACTAATCTCCTCCGACTCCTCATCTGACTTGCTGAGGATGCGGCTGATGTTGCTGAAGACGTGACTCTCATGGAGGAACTGGTGGTCTGACTGTGTGAACTCCAGACAGTAGCAACACACTCCCATCCTCTGTAGATGAACCAGTGAGTGAGTGAGTGAACAGTGAGTGAGTGAGTGAGTGAGAGTTTGAATGAATGATTGAATGAATTGAATGAATGACATGGGGTGAGTTGGGATGAGTTGGGATGAGTGGGTGGGTGGAACTTTTTGTATGTGAGTGAGTGGGACCTTTTGTGAGTGAATGAGTGAATAAATAGCAAACATTGCAACCACTTGAAACCCATTTAACTCACTTGTTATGTCAGCAGTGAATTTAGTTGCTCTTTTTATGCTGCAGCAATATTCCAGCCATATTACAGAGACTATAAATAATAAAGTCTTGAACCAGTCAACCAATGGTTAATATTATGATAAAGGCCCCACATCATCAGGGTATGTAGTCAATCAAGCAGGCAGAACCTGACAATTCAAGTGAGTTAGTACCTGGCTTCAAGCCTTGAACATCCTCTCAGTATTATGTCTGCTTGTTGCTGAGAAAGCCTGAAGTCAACTCAACTCAAACCATACAGGACAAGCTTGACATACTGAGTACCCTTCCTGAACAGGAATTTCAACACTGCCATGAGCGAGAGAGTGAGTTGGCCCTGTTAGGCAGGGAAAGGGAAAAGCGTTTCAAACAAATGTCACCTCACAACATGTTTACTTGATGACACATATTGGTACAACTAATTACATAAGGGCTGTCTGTCACTGACCTGTAGAGAGGACCCAAGGGGTAACTGCATCATGACATCAGAGATGGTCTGTAGCAAGGTGTGGAAGGTCTCAGGGAAGGGGGCCACTGCTTTCCCTGCGATAGTGATGTCTGACAGCGGGTGTTCACACATAGGTACATCCTGTAGGTGGTGCAGAGACAGGGCATTAACACATGTCAACTAATGCTGCTCTTCAATGTGTGTTCTTTTGACTCACAAACAAACTGGACAAATTATCAAAACATGATAATTGTAAAAGAATTTGTGTAAGGAACTGTGAGGTACTACAGATACTGATACAAGTATGGCACACACCTCTTGGTCCTTCTTGACGTCCTTCTTCTCCTTGACCTGTTCTTCCTCCTCTTCCTCCTCATCCACGGGAGGCATGAGAGACACCGTGAAGAACCAGAAGAGGTCATGTAGGCACACCTGCTGCACCACACTACGCAGCAGCCAGTTGAAGGCCTACACAGTAGACAATTGGAATGTGAGTACACTGGCTGTCAATACTCCCTATCACACATCCATCATCCATTCATGATGATATTGATGGGCAGTTAGTTACACATGACTTCAGCAAATGAGATTATTCATAGATAAGTCACAAGTATCCTACACACATGGTATCAATAGATTACTTCAAATACCACCTTATGTGACGATATTCATGGAAAAGTCACAAATTATCCACTATCAACAAGTTATTGAGAGATTATTTCAAATACCACCCATGTGAAGTCACAACTACCCTACACACAAGTTATTGATAAACCATTTGAAACACAACCCTTATGTGATGAATTCTTAGACAACAAGTTGTTGATAGATCCTTTCAAATACCGTGATGTTATTCACTGGCAATCAGAAATACTCCCTGACATTAATGACAGATTGTTACAAATAGATAAACCCATACTGGATGTTATTCACATAGTCACAAACGCCCACTCACAATAAGTTATTGAAAGAACATTATGAATACCATCTTAATGTAATGACAATATTGTACTGATCTTACCTGCATGGCAAACACACGACATGATGCCTTGCGCAGTGCTTGTCTCATGGCCAGCTGCAAACTGTCCAGGTCATGTCTCTGGATGATGAACTCCATCACAGGCCGCTGTAGCGCACGTTCTCCGTTACCCGAGGGTGCTCCACTCCGGTCCACCGAGTTGATCAGCTTTGTCATGGCTGCTGATGGATGCTTCAATAATGACATCCCTCCATCTGAAACAGGGAATAATGAGTACACACTGATGTTAACACGAAAACACTGGTGTAAGGGTATATGGCATGTTAAAGGTGGTCATTAAGATCTCATTCTAAGCACAGCTAATTCTTAAGACTAGCCTTACTTTTTTGTTCCATACTTGGCATCACTGAAATTTTCTACACATCTGAACCGGTTATTACACTTATGCTGTGAGCAGAAATTGAATTCCATTGTGACATATTCTATCATGTGTTACTGTAGGTCATCCAGCTTTTGGGTGTTACTTGATGACTACCTTAAAACATGGCTAGACATGGCCACTGCTCCATTATAACAATCAGATAATAATTTCCATCCTTCCTTTCAAATGTCCATTGCTTATTATCAAACACTGTTAAACATACCTCCTCACACATATTTGTACACTGCCAATCACAAATTAGCACAAATAAGACTGTTAACTTCCACTGTGAAGTTTCCACCTTTGATATCTTATCACCTCTGATGTTTTACATGTACATATATAAGCTGTCTGCATCCTAGCTTCCATCAGCCAGGATATACTCAGAAACGTGTTAATCATAGTAAAGAAGAAGAGTCCCAAAACTTCTCTTCCTTGGACACAACAAAGATGGAGTCACTGGTTTCCACAGTTCCACCCACCTCCGACTCCTCCACTGTTGTTTCTCCTCCTGGCCATGGCCCTGTTGTGGGCCCCCTGTTGACTGTTCTCATCATCGGAGGAGATCTCTGATATACTGCGGTGGAAGATCTTCTTGAAGTGCTCTTGTTCATTGTCTGGACTTGTTCCAGCACTCTTCACCACCGCCTTAGCTTCACCAGACACATTCATGCTGGGGTCCTGCAAGACACAAAGGAACATGACCCAACGAAGACTGAACAAGCCATCAGGCATTTTGATTACAACATCAACTACTTAATGTTGTTCAAAACAGCAAATCAGCAATATTCCAGCTCTGGTTGCTTGTAAATAATGAAGTCTGATCCAGGCAAACGATTTGCTATTTTCCATGACACATGACCAACAAAACCTGATCAAAATAATTTACCTCTTACAATAAGCAGGGGTGTATAAAAGTGTTACTGTAACCCAGATTCCTAAAGGGTACATCAATATCAAGGAAAACACTACAACATTAGGTGCGAGTGAGTATTTGTCTCAGTGACCAGTTTTCCTGAAATACTGGCATGGCAGCTTAAAGTGGACTGACAGACTGAATTTGGTTTTACGCTGCTTTTAGCAATATTCCAGCAACATCACGGCGGTGGACACCAGAAATGGGCTTCACACATTGTGCCCACGTGGGGATTCGAATCCGGGTATTCGGCGTGACGAGCCAACGCTTTAACCATTAGAGGCTACCCCACCGCCCCTTAAAGTGGAAGGAGAACCCTAAGTTATGAAGTTTTCCAATGTATACCTATAACTGTATTGGTAAAACACAGAGGCATGGTGTTGACAAACCAAGAAACCATGAAATCTAATGGTGGCAAATCAAGACCAGAGGAGGTTAAATATTAGACTAGATGCCAATAGAGACAATAACAATTTGAACAGTCTATCGCACAATAGGAGCTCCAGTTGACAAGGTGTCCTGTCACTTATGCCACTTGTTATTCAATACTTACCACTGGTCCTGGTGGCGAGTACTGTGAGAATGGCCGCACATCCTGCCCAAGTGACCCTGACCTTGCCAACGGACTATGTCGTGGTTCTGTTGGCAACCTTGGTCTGTATGAAATTGTTCTCCTGTTTGCTATGCTCAGTGACCCTGACCTCACAAACACCCTCTCTTCGTCATCGATCAAAATATCCTCTGCGAAAGCTGAGTCAGCATTCTGGGCATTCTGCTGGACCAGATACTGGAAGGGAACAGGAGGGAAGGGTTCTAGTTCTGACCCAAGGTCTTCACTGACACTGGGAAGGATCATGTCGGCACGGGAGTGGGGTTTTTTGTGATGTTTGGGTAGGGTAAAGCCAGAGGCACTTGCCAGGTCTAAGAGAAACATAGCATTGTTTTTCAACACTATATGACCCTCTTGAGGTGACACCAAGGTAGCTTGTTTTGAGAGCATTGATTTCCTCTTCACTTTCTTTGATTTATCCTTTTCCTTCTGAGACTGTTTTTTTTGTCACGGAGGTACTTGTCCCTGCACTTATCACACATGAGGTACCAGCTACTGCCGCCAATGCCTCCCTCTCCACAGTTTCCCGCCCAGCCGCCACAGAAGTTCCCCCCACTGTTATACCCCTTCCCACAGGCATGCCGTCCACAACCAGGGTGGTTCTGCCTCATGTGATATGTAACCGGGTGGGGGAAGGACCCTCCACAAAGTTCGCACAACGTCTCCCTCTCCCCACCTCCACCACCAAACATCCCAGCAACTGCATCACCAAACAGATTCCCCTTGGCAACAGCCTTTGCCTCTTTCCGCTTCTTGCTCTTCTTTTCCTTATCCTTTTCTTTATCCTTCTTCTCGGCCTTCTTCATCTTCACAGCTTGAGCAGGACTAGGAAGAATGAGGTCTTGGCCTATGACTTTGAGGACGGATGTGGACAGTTCCTCCCAGAAGTATACCAGATGCTGGATGGTTGGCGGAAGTTCCTTGTCCTCCTTGTCCCGAACTTCATCTCGTTCCTTTGCCTCCAGCTTCCACTTGTCCCCTTCAGATTTGACTCTTGCGATCGGGGGACGAATGGGAGTTGATGCCCTCTCCCCCTTCAGCAGCTCTGTTTCACTGATGTCTTTGATCTGAGGCTCAAGATTAAACCTAACTCTACTCTCATTAATATTATCCTTCTTCTTTTCCTTTGAAAGATCTTTGCTGGAGTCTGTCGCATGACGAACTCGGATCTTCTCCTGTTTCTTCTCTTTCACAAATTTGGACATTTCTTTTGGCAGATCGGGGTGGAACTTGAGGAAGGAAGCACATGCCATGGCATCATGGACAATGCCCTCGTGCCACATGAATGCAGCAAACACTGCCCGGAGACACTCGGCCACTGACGGAGACAAGGCTTCCTTGACCGGGTCACGTGGTCGATCCAGAATCTGGGAGGCTGAAGATGACCGTGACCTCATCAAAGGATTTATATCACGAGGAGATGGGGATGAAGCCCTTTCTCGCTTGGTCCTCAGCTGCCGACCTCGATCCTTCCTATTTGCTTTAGGTGACAACCTGCAAAGGAAAGAACATGTATGTATATACAGCAACATCCATTTCAATTTGCCACCATGGTAAGGCAAACATTAGCATAACTAAAAACTCTGAAGATCTGAATTTACCTTATAGCCTCATCTTTTGGTGATGATGATCCTATATTGAACGCTCCAGCCATCTGTGGGGTATTCTGTCCAGGACTGCCAGGCCGAACTATCCCAGCAGCACTTGCTCCTAGTTGAGGACTTCCTGTGGCTACCCTCCGATGTGGGCTAAAATTGACATTTTCATATACCATAACCAAGAAGACTTACACAGCATTAGAAACTAAGGGAAATCCTTTCCTAAAGAATCAGAATCTGAACCCCCTAATACTGTATTTGTTACAGAGAATGGCCGCACATCCTGCCCAAGTGACCCTGACCTTGCCAACAGACTAAGAGAAAACCTTTACTAAAAAGTCAGAATCTGGACCCCCTAAATCTGTACTTGTTATACAAGAGAGAGAGAGACAATCATTATACAAATCACAGCCAAGTCAACACTGTAGCTTCATATGACTCATCTCCCACTCCAGAATAGCTACAAGATGGTTATCAAAAACCTTATAAATGCACTCACCTGCCTCCTCTTACTGGCGAAGCATATCTCGGGCTGCCACACCCTGATGCTCCTGGGGGTGGAACTGTTGGTAATGCAGGCACATCCTTCACTGGGGGTACCTTGACCCGCCCCTCTGGAGCTGTGGGTACTTGAGGCAACTCCTTTCTCACAGGAGGAGGTGTCACAGGAGGGGAGATGTTCTTGTCAAAGGAATGATCCTTCTGGAGCTTGCCCCGAGTGCTCCTCATAGGTATGGGGCTACCAGGTGGGGTCTTGAAGGCTTCCTCCTTCTGCAGTGTCCCCCGCGGGGAGTCCCCTGGGCGGGGGCTGTCCCTGTCACGCATAGCTGGGGAGCCTGATCGGGGAGAACCTGGCAGAAGAAACGACAACTCTATGCCAAATCTGCTCAAACCTAGTCTCTTGTACTAAGACACTGACTATCATATATGCAAAAGTTTTCTGTTTATCTGAAGGTTGATGAAATTTACTTCCAAATTGCATATCAATATGGGGAGAATGCTTGAAATGTTGGACTGTCTTGCTGCTGTGACAAGACTGTACCACAACAAAATTTACTTCCTGTCAAAGTACATCCTACTCATTTTAGACTTACCTGAGTCACTGGGTGGCTTTGGACTTGAGCTGCGTGAGGTTTTCTTTGGAGAGCCCGGAGGGGAAGGGTTGGGGGTAGGGCCATTACCATTGGCTCGACTTTCACCTGTAATACACATAAATCATATATGTCAACAAGATGAACATATAACACCTCAATAAGAGGTGAACCATGGCCTTTTCTAGTCATTTAATCTGTCATTAATCTGAAATTACATACAAGTGTTGGCTTTATAAAGATGTAAACAAAGGTGAGACAGTTGAGATATAGGAGGGAGCGGGTTGTGTTTCATGCTGCTTTGAACAATGCTTCTGTTACATCACAGAAAGCCCAAAGTGATTCAGTGATTGAGTTTAGCCCCACTTTAAACAATATGCCAGATACATCACAGCATGTAAGCTTAATGTTGGAGGTAAACCTGAAGAGATGCAGTTCTCTGATCTTTACAGGCAAAGCTTTCTGGCCTGACCAATGGACACTACTCTGCACAGCAAATAGCGGTTGCTAACATAACTTGGCCGACCATATCCCTAGTGATGAATGTCATGCACATTGTACCACAGTGAAACCCTCACGCATGAGTGTGGTCCCAACAGACCACTGTTCATAATGAGTCAAATCTGGGATTCTACCTCTTTATTAGCAGATCCTAGCATAGATAAGGGACACAATTCTGCACTGCAACTTGATGTAGCGTTACTACTCATCAGAAATGGAAGAAGTCAATCGGCACACATTTTCAAGGGAGACATTCAGCACCATGTGACATAAAGGGACAATAAGACAAAATGTCCACACTTAATAGTGCTCTAAAGATATAGAAATAAAGGTTCCTTAAAACATGTAGATGTAGTTCTGACAGTGAATTTCAAAATTAATTATACATAAGCTGATTCAGGTCTTGTGTTAGTAAACAGAAATGGTTACATGATGTGATCTTCATATACATTTTTTTTAAGCTGTATAGAACTTATACACTTAATCAAACTTGAAATATGACATTCACATTAAAATACATGCATGAGTTCAAAAACACAAACAGTAGCACAATCTGATTTACAACAAAAAACATGGCACATTGAACAAAAGGTATTTCATCAAAGGAAAAATAAAAAACAAGTACAAAACATACATGCTATACATGACCACGGGCTTAAAACACACTTCTGTTCAATACAGAAGAATGAGTCCTTGGAGTGCGCAAAAGCTCATAGAAAGTGCTTCATTTCTGATATGTTATTTATGTTATTATTTCATTGTTTATGCTGTCCAAATTTCAAATGTTCTGAGTTTATGTTGAGAGGAATGTCATCATCTATGTTTGTTGCCTAATGTGAGAGTTATATGCAGCCATATCTCTCTGCCCTGTGTAGAATAGAGTCTGGGCCAGATCACAAACCAGTGATTGATATAATGAGTCACTGTCAGGGCATGATGACATGCAATCAAGTCACTGAAATACCCGATCCTACAGTGCTTCTTCTGACTAGGGGCAGTGAGGTAGCCTAATCTTTAAAGTGTCGGCTCGTCACACTGACGACCCGGGTTCGAATCCCCACATGGGCACAATGTGTGAAGCCCATTTATGGTGTCCCCCGCCGTAATATTGCTGGAATATTGCTAAAAGTGGCGTAAAACACAACTCACTCACTCACTCTTCTGACTAGCATAGGGTACAAGGGACAAACTAAACGCCCAGTTCCTTATAGGGGACAAAAACACTCAAATATAACTATACACAAGTAAAACCGAAAAGCACAGATTAGGTGCTATGATACCTATGATATCTAAGTTCCTTAATGGAGCACATACAAAAGCAATAGATCCTGGCAACTAAGGGATGCAACTCTGCACAGAGAATTGTAATAATGATATCTCATTTTGCTATCTACTGCCTACTTAGAAAGTCAACTTACATAAAGCATTGTCAAAGGTTTGTATGCAGTACATTCCCCAATCACCGGTGAATACACATGGCACCCAGAGTGCATTAGTGATGAAAGCTAATGAAATTAGACTGTTGTAAGTAACAGAAGTCAAATCTCACTCTTTACATAGACTTTGAGTGAACGATATCCACAGTCTGACATTGAGGCACTGCGAAGAGTTCGCATCAGAAAGGCTAGGGCACATGGTGCAGAGGTGGTTGAACAAGAAACATTGTATATGCAATGTATATGCAACGTAATCTAAGCACTCATTGGAACCAGGGTCCCGTTTTACAAAGTGATCTTAGCACTAAGGTGATAATAACTCCCTGACTTACTCCCTCTATCATAGATTTATAATTATAGCACTAACATCACTTTGATGAATAAAACCCTCAGAGCGATCTTAGCACTAAGGTGAACATAAGTCCCTTACTTACTCCCTCTATCATACACTTAAAATAGTCATAGCACTAACATCGCTTTGATGAATAAAACCCTCAGACCTATCTTAGCAATAAGGTGAACATAAGACCCTTACTTAGTCCCTCTATCATACACTTAAAATAGTCACAGCACTAACATCACTTTGATGAATAAATCCCTCAGATACCGATCTTAGCAATAAGGTGAACATTACTGACTTACTTACTCCCTCTATAATACACTTAAAATAATAGCACTAATATCACTTTGATGAATAAAAACCTCAGACTGATCTTAGCAATAAGGTGAACATGACTGACATACTTACTCCTTCCATCTTACACTTAAAATAGTCATAGCACTAATATCACTTTGATGAATAAAACCCTCAGATACCGATCTTAGCAATAAGGTGAACATTACTGACATACTTACTCCCTCTATCATACACTTAAAATAGTCATAGCACTAACATCACTTTGATGAATAAAACCCTCAGAGCAATCTTAGCAATAAGGTGAACATTACTGACTTACTTACTCCCTCTATCATACACTTAAAATAGTCATAGCACTAATATCACTTTGATGAATAAAACCCTCAGATACCGATCTTAGCAATAAGGTGAACATTACTGACTTACTTACTCCCTCTATCATACACTTAAAATAGTCATAGCACTAACATCACTTTGATGAATAAAACCCTCAGACTGATCTTAGCAATAAGGTGAACATTACTGACTTACTTACTCCCTCTATCATACATTTAAAATAGTCAAAGCACTAATATCACTTTGATGAATAAAACCCTCAGACCTATCTTAGCACTAAGGTGAACATAAGACCCTTACTTAGTCCCTCTATCATACACTTAAAATAGTCGCAGCACTAACATCACTTTGATGAATAAATCCCTCAGATACCAATCTTAGCAATAAGGTGAACATTACTTACTTACTTACTCCTTCCATCTAACACTTAAAATAGTCATAGCACTAACATCACTTTGATGAATAAAACCCTCAGACTGATCTTAGCAATAAGGTGAACATTACTGACATACTTACTCCCTGTATCATACACTTAAAATAGTCATAGCACTAATATCACTTTGATGAATAAAAACCTCAGATGATCTTAGCAATAAGGTGAACCTGACATACTGATCCTTAGCAATAAAAAGGTGACACACATAACACTTAAAATAGTCATGATCACTTTGATGAATAAAACCCTCAAACTGATCTTAGCAATAAGGTGAACATTACTGACTTACTTACTCCCTCTATCATACACTTAAAATAGTCATAGCACTAACATCACTTTGATGAATAAAAACCTCAGACTGATCTTAGCAATAAGGTGAACATTACTGACTTACTTACTCCCTCTATCATACACTTAAAATAGTTGCAGAAATAACATCACTTTGATGAATAAAACCCTCAGATACCGATCTTAGCAATAAGGTGAACATAAGTCCCTTACCTACTCCCTCTAACATACACTTAAAATAATATCACTAACATCACTTTGATGAATAAGGCCCTGGCCACGCTTGAATTGCTGTTTATCAAATACCAACTGCACAACATAATGGCCATATGTATTCGTGGTGATGAAGGAACCAAGTCCATAATGATGTATATAACCATGCATGGTCGGAAACTGGGAACAGATAGGAAGATAAGACGTGGTTATATTGTCATACACATGCCCCCATCCACACAACAAGCATCTTACCCACAAGCGACACCAGTCTTTGGGGACTGATTGTACGGAATCGATAATTCAGGGATATTGTTTTTAACTGTGGGACTTTGTGAAACTCCTGGCTCCAGCAGTTATCATAGACAGCGGTTACACACTTCACATTATCTGTGTGCCAAGCAAGCAGAGGCAAGCAAAAGGAAAACCACAATAAGTCAACACTGTCTCAATGCACAAAGGGCAACAATTTCATTTCAAGTCTACAGTGGGCAAAGTTCACAATGTTAGAAAAACACACACAAAAATGCATTTCAAGACCAGAGGTTGAATAAAATCTGTTTTCAAAAATAAGAACTGTGACCGCCATTATTATTTTGTGATTATCTAATTTGCACAATTATTGGGTGAACTTTTACATGGCATGGTCAAGAAGTTCCTTCCATAGACCAATGTTTGTTCAACTGAAATGGTCAATTTAGGCTTGGTCTTGCAATCAAATTTGCTTTTTGTCTTGTGATGTTAGGCAAGGAGGTAACCTGAATATTTATCAGGTCGGGCTATAGCAAATTGTCATGAATATAAATTTTCAAAAATCAGTACCACCTAAAACCATAAATAAATACATTGGCAGGCACATCCAGGGTGGTATCATCAGGTTAAAATTGTGATCAACGTATTGTTCAAAATCATGTCAGCTCAGGACAGCATTTTCTTAAATTTGATGGGTCTAAAACACCATATGATTTATAGTGAACATACGGCACCCATATTAGTGCACCTGTAAATTATACCCTACCTAAAGTAAACTAAATCTGGGTAAGGTGCATATACAGTTATACCATTGCTCAAAACAGCATTCCGTTAAAATGTCTGAGATGTGTTAATTTTGCATCAGGTGAGAAAAAAATAAAAGTTTTGAGACCAATGGACAGGTAAATGTTTCAATGATAATATCTCTAGACTTTACCCCCATGGATACCATTAAATGTAAACTTGATGTGGGTCCAATTTGTGAAAGGTTATCAGTTTGGGGAAGCTGTGCTTTTAAATAAAGCTCATCAAACATACCTTTTCTTCTGTCTTATTTATTTACAGAATACTTTCAGACAATGTTGATTTGACAGATTGGTTTTCAGTAGGACTGGTAGTTATCAGCCCTGTGATCTGGTACAAATGTTGGGGGAGTTTCATAGACTGATTTATTCATCATCACAGTACACTGACAGGAGTTTGCCAGGCCACTGGTGCGTCATCTGACAATCACTTTCCAATAATAACCAATTTAACTACAAATGCATGAAATTCTGTTCACCTTTAATTCCTTAGATACAATACCTGTTTAAAGATTTGTCACAAGTACACATGGTACCATTTGCCTCTTAAAGAAATAACCCAGGTAAATCCCTGCACTTTTTCGGAGAGATTATACAAACTGGTTATTTACAAATAATTATTCCAAACTTTCACAAAGAGGTAGAATTTTTTATTATATCTTCATTTTGAAAATACTGCAATTTGTAAATATGTAAGACGGCATAAAAACACAACTGTAGATTTCAACAATTTAAACTTTGAAACACTTATCATTATCAAACTGGGGCTGATGAAATATTACGTAGAATGTGAAACAATGTGTGGATGACAAGAAGCCGTACTTCACATGAGATCAATCACTGATAAACTGACAAACCACATCACTGAGACCACAAGGTTGCAACAAGCTCAACATGCACAAAAGCAGTTAAAGCAGCACGCCACAACACACATGCTCACCTAGAGCCTTGACTAGTTCCCTGACAGACACACCCATCAGCTCGGGGGGCAGGTCCCTCCCATCTCTCCCCTTCCCAATCATGCCAAGATCGGCAGCTTGGCGTTCAAGGTAGGCCGTCTGTGGTGCACGTCGGTCCGGCATGGAGTACGCTTTGACTGGCTGCGGCATTCTCCTCGTCGTCATTGGTGTAGATGTGAAAGGTCCACCGCTCGAAGACTGGGCTTCGTCTCCTGCTGAGTCTACTACAAGCGTCACAGGTTCAAAGGGGCTGGCGGTGGCGCCAGCAGAGGACTGACCGAACATTGGTACACTTGCTGCAGCTTCTGTGGAGGTTAATAACAAAATTACTAACCACACACCGATATAATACAGGTTATATCTCACACTTCAATTGATGTGCATTGTGAAAAATAAAATAAGCTGGATTTGGTGCAGAATAAAAACAGCAACTGAAAAAATATCCTTAACAAAAATAGTATAAGTGTATTTAAGAAAAGGTCACACAAAAACGTCATTTATGGTACCAAAATATTATGCATTAAAAACCAAACCTGCACAAAATTTAGTCAATAATATTCATGATAAAGTAATACTGAAAACAAAAGTGTTAACGTTGTTAAAAATGTGTTGTTAGTCATCCAATTTACACTTACAATCAACCCCTTATCCATAACTTTAGCCATCTATTACAAAGTTTAAACTCCTAGTAAACAAAATCAGTTAAAACATTACAAGAATTATCAAGAAATAATGACATTTAGAATGAAAGTGCTAATCTTCACTGCACAAGGAAATACAAATTTCAAATGCTACTATCTGTAAAGACAAAGAGTATGAGAAAATAAAGAGTGGCAACCACAGTTCACAGACACAGGGCAAACAAGAAGGGTTACCTGGATGCCCAAATGCAAAGGAGGTTGTGGTGCTTCTAGGGGCGAAGCCTGGCAAAGAGAGATGGGTGTACACTGTATATATGTCCATTACCAGACACAACACAGCACTACACAGGCTTTACTAAACTCAGAATACACCATTTCCTCTTGTAGATTTATACAAACTATCTTTTATCAATGGTTTATTCATGTTTCAGAGATCTGGCACTTATGAAGTCCAATGCTTCCAGCAGGGAGCTAAACAGTTATTAAATTTCATTTTCTTGCTGGCTTGCTTTGTTGTTTAACGCTGCACTCAGTAATATTGCATCTATATGACGGTGGTCTGTGAATAATCTGGACCAGACAATCCAGTGATCAACAGCATGAACATCGATCTATACAATCGGAGTACGATGACATGTGTCAACCAAGTCAGTGAGCCTGACCACCCGATCCCATTCACCTCTAACGACAAGCAGGGGTAGTTTCTTTTTCTAATGCTTATTTTCGTGGTGAACAGTATCCATCGGTAGAAATTTCTTGATAGTTTAAAATCATATTATTAAATTTTTTGACATAATACAATTGAATTGTGTTGATATAAGCGTTAATCATGTTAATTTTAAGTTTGACATTGCTCAGTATAAGGATCAAATTATAACCTCATGACTCGTTTGTTGTTTTAAGCACAGTCAGCAATATTCCAGCTACATCAAGGAGACTAACACAGTCGGAACCAGGCAAACCAGTGACAGAAAGAATGAGCAACACTTCAAAGCATCTGGATACGGTGGCACCTGTTCTTAAGCTTTAACAACTGATCCAATTATTAAAACAATCGATAAAGTGCTGCAGGCGTATTCTAACCCACATTCTAAGCCTGACTGGTGAGTTTGGTTTTACGCCACTCTTAGCAATATTCCAGCAACATCACGGAGGAGGGCCCCAGAAATGGGCTTTACACACTGTACCCATGTGGGGATTCAAACCCGGGTCTTCGGCGTGACGAGACAACGCTTTAACCACTAGGCTACCCCACCGCCCACCACATTCTAAGAGGGTTCAAGTTCATGGAAATACTTTCTAATAGTAACAGACTCAGAAAGCAGGAATATAATAGCAGACCCTAGTCAGTGATATATGCTGCACCTCTCTCTTGCCACATATTTTAGAAATACATTTTTGAATTTATAATTTAAATCTTATGATAATTAGGGCTGCAACGAATCCACTATGACACAAAGATGATACATATCATGAATACTGGGTACCGAATACCAATACTGGCAATACAATAACATGTCAGAAGTCGATGCAACTTTTAGTAAATTCGGTTAAACAAGAACAAAATACATTCATTTGGCATCTTTTAATGATACTGACAGATAATTTATGACCAGTGACCACATTACTGTCAAATTAAATATATAGAGTGTCGATTATTACCCTGACTGGTGTGGATATATTCCATTTAGCACACATCATTTTGATAAATAACTCTCAAATTAAAGTAAAACACTCCTTTCTTTTACAAAAATAATAAATATTTGATTCTAGTTATCAAAAATAACAATTTGAATCCATGAAGGGATACAGTTTGATTCACCAAATACACGATTGAATTGTAACAGCCCATATGATAGAGCTCCACTGAAAATCCTCAACACATACAGCAACAGTTTTGTTAAGTGAAAACACACACGACACATTGTTAGTGAATCAATAATGATGTGAGACACAGTTAATGACATAATATTTGTTGCCTGTTTTGGAACATAACTTTTGTGTCACTCATTTTGGGAACATGCGATTAAAACAGCATAATGCATGTATTGTTATCACGAGTATTTGTTTTTCTGTGTGATCAATGACGCCAGATGCATACTACGGCTAGAATGGTGAAGCATACACGCTAGGTCTATAATCACAAACTATTACTCTACCTGCTTGAAAATGATGAAGAAAGCTCTCTGAAAATATCATAATTATCAAATCTCACTTGTCTTCATTAATATCTACCTTCTTCATAATTATTCATCAGAGACAAACAATATTTTCCTGTCAACATCTTTCATAAATTATATCTTGACAAAGATTGGGAACATTTCATTACAAATTTCAGTCCAAGTTTTCAGTGAAACCTTACAGTCCAAACCCTTTTGACCGAAAACCTGATATTTTACTGTTGAAAACATATATATTGAGAATGAAAAATACAAAGCACCATAATTTGTTTACAGGACGACACACTCGGAAATGTACATCCAGATTAGCAGGGTTTCAGTGCCTATGTTACCTGTTAAAAACAGTACACGCCTTGCAAAGATGAAGTCATTTTACTTACCTAGAGTGAAGTCACTCTTGAGACTGAAGCTGGGGAGGCTGGTTGAGTGACAGTGTGCTCCGGAGAAGTCGAAGCCACGTGATGATGTGACTGGCAGGGTGTTGAAGGAGAAAGGGTCCTTCCCGACCGGCCCCACCTCGGACTCATGACGGAGAAACACGATGCTGTCCTTCCCTGCGGCCAGTGACCACGCCTCTGTCTCACTACTGTGACAGTACTGCTCAACACTCTCCACATCCAGCTTCACCCAGGTGCCGTCGATATTAGTTGCCTGGATGGAAACAGTATGGTCTATATGGTCCTGTCTAGACATGGGATCATCTATAGGAGTGCAACAGTTGGTTGGTTGGTTTGTTGTTTGAAGTCGCACTCAGCAATATTCCAGCAATATTCCAGCTATATGGCAGTGGCCTGTGAATGATCGAGTCTGGACCAGACAATCCAGTGATCAACATCATGTGCATTGATCTACTCAGTTGGGATGCGATTACATGTGTCACCCCAATCAGCTAGTCTGATCCCCAAAACACATTAGTCGTCTTTAATGACAAGCATGGATTGCTGAAGACAGTTGTATGCTCCCCCAGGGAGTTGAGATTGATAATAAGAAGTGCCGTTGAGACTGACATATCTATGATCGAGGAAAAATGCAAAGTGCCTGTGAGCAGCCTAGCTGGAACTCGGCGCTATACAAATAGATTATAATAAATAATAAGACTTATTCTAACCCGAATCATCAAGGGTTCATCTTTAGGAGTGTAACGGGACATTTAAGTACTGATGTATTGATATATGAAACATCACAATAATCAGGAGTCAGTGGTAATGTCTAAACACCATAAACATCATGGGTTAGCAGAAATTAGTTGAATTTGCTTGACTGACTTTCAACAGATGACTCTACATGTAATAATTAGCTGTTCATGAGCTGTTCATAGGTCTGGGCCTCCTGTCACAAACCACTAAGGTGATCGTAAATCACTAAGGTAACCTTAGTGCAATATTAAAGAATGGGACTAAAAGTAACCTTAGTAAAGGTTGCCGTGAAAGTAGCACCTGGTGAATCAGAACAATCATGAAATCAAAGTCGGGTAGATCAGCAGTGCTTTGGGATGTTTGCAGGACTCTGTAATTCAGTTTTCAAAATGTATCTCTGTCATAACTAGACTTTTACCAATTGTAATCAAATTTCCAGATTGTATTGTGTCTACAAACATAATTATCCCCATGACACAGAAGGTAAACGTTTAACATATGGCTAAACAAAATAATGACGTAAACACTCACATCCTCAATGGCAGTCAGCCTCTTCCCCAGTGTCAGCATGCCGATGGGAGTTGCCTTCAGGTTAGGGCGACTGCGGATGTTGTGGCCAAATGATCCACACTTCACCACTTGGTACACCCCAGGCCCTGCACATAGTATGAGAATTAAACATCCTGCAGCTCAGCTAGTGGTTAACATATCAAAGTTCCAATCCAAAACCAATAGACTAGGAGAGAATAAGATGCATCAGCAACAAAGACAAATATACTTTCATCACAGGCTACAGAGAGAGCCACGTTACATCTTTTAAGCGGCCTTCACATGGCAAACTAAAGTCTGAAAACACATGTTGTCAAACTCGAGTTTGAGAGTATGAACATCCCAACAACTCACCATCAACACCAATTTCAGAGTTGTGGAGACATAGGATCGGTCTCTATTCTCACCAACTTTTCCATTAAACGGCGTTGTCAAACTCGAGTTTGACGTGTGTAGAATTGTCAAACTCGTGTTGTTCAGAAACAACAAATCGCAGTCAACAAGATTGTCGCATTAAGATATGGCGCTCAAATGACACGAAATTTTGACAAGTGTTTGTCGTGTGAAAACACGAGTTTGACAACTTCTAAAATTTCAACAACATGTGTTGTCAGGCTTTAGTTTGCCGTGTGATGGTCGCTCTACAAGTACTTAACATCAGCCAGTAAGCCTAAATGAGAATTCTACACTACACACACACTACTGATAAGAAACTCCAAAAACATGAATTTGAAATGAAACACATGTTGTAGTTAGCACAACCAATAATTCTTATGATGTACAATAAACAATAATGTGATTAATACAGTCTTTGGCCACTACAAACATCTTATGAAGAATAAGTAAACTCAAGCAAACACGTAACTGTAAAAACACTTAACTTGCTCAGAAACAGTTTAATTCAGCATGAAATAACTAGCAGGTAAACAAATAACAATAAAACACAGCACAAAGTGCATCCTCCTCACCTCTGCGTGGCCTGGGCAAGATGTCCCTCACATACTCCGGGAGCTTCCTCTGTATGGCTTCCTTGACCATCTCATCCAGGATGGACTTGGGTTCCTCGACAGGTACAAGGAGCGCCTTGCCTAGATGCTGGTTGTACTGAAGACACCATGCCTCTGTGTAGCCACTGACGCACCACTCCTTGATGGAGTCCGGGCTCAGCCTCACCCACACGCCGTCATCGTTGTGGATCTGTTGGCAGAGGTTTAAACTGTCATACTGCTAGAAGAGTTGTATTGTCTCATCTTGTTTTGAATTATGTAGAATATAACACAGACAAATGGCATGATCAATCCCAGTGGAGATACTTACCTATGTGCATGAACATACAGAAATGACTGTTATGGAATATAATTAACATAACCAAATAAGCTAGATCTGAATTGACTTTTTCCCTGACGATACAAATTAATTATGAGACCACTCACCTCGTCAATGAAGGAGATGACCCCACCAGGCTTGACCACACCTATCTGCTCACTCTGGAGGGTGGGGTGAACTCGCACCCTCAGACCAGCACTGCACTTCCCAACAAACTTCCGCATCTGGCCAACGTAAGCATTTTCTATGTAGAACTACTCCGCACATTTTAAATTTACATTTATACTTTTAAGGATGTCTGCTGATCTAGATTTAGAGTGCTTAACATCTATGAAATACTCTAACTGAAAGAAAGGGGTTAGTGTGCACTGTTATCAGCTCTGCATAAAATCATTACAAACAGCAATTCACTTTTTAAAGATCTCTAGAACATTATAAGTTGTTCACTGGTCACGAGGGGCATGGGTTGATGTACTCTCGATGTTTGTTTATGAGGGGAACATAAACAAACATCGAGGGTACATCAACCCATGGGCCCCGAGGGACCAGTGAACAATGTATTTATCTTACCGAACACCTTAATGTTAATTTTGAATTGTTTGAAGCACGGGTACAAATTTTTTGTAGCCATTGCTAGATTTTTGCTGACAAGAAAAACAGATTTAGAGTTATCTCCCTTCCATCGATTTGCATTCGCAAAACATCGGTAATTTCAGTACATCATACGTGATTCAATGTTATTCGAGATAAAGAAGTACTACCACGAAGTACCAAATGAGTTGCCACTGACAGCGGGGTACATTGAAATGTTACTCGCTTGTAAGCGGGGTACATTGAAAATAATAGAAGAGCGTTCAGACAATCAGAAAGCAACATTTATGTGTGAGGTAAGATAAATGGATATAATGTGCATCAGAAGGAAAAAACATTAAATTCTGTAAGTAATTCAGTTACTTGATAAATGTTTCCATTTACACTTGTCAGTGGATTTCTCACACAAATGATGTTGTACAGAGTTTTGGTTGGAGAAGGAATGAAGTGATACAGTTAAACAAGTCTCCTACCCTGCTGGGCTGGTGGGCCTTCTTGGCGTGCTGTGAGGGAGGGGGGACTCCCTGGGGGGGTTCCTTCACCTCCACCTTGTATACATCACCTAGCAACACAACACACAAGTGTTTATAAAACATCAGCACTTCACAAGGGCTAGTCAAGGTCCTACAATAAACATGATCTCCATCAATTAAACATCTTTTCCCTAGCATATACACACCTGCTTCAAACCCATCAATGGTGGCGTGTATGTTGTAGAAGCCCACACAGCCCGGTGTCCAGTTGGCACTGAATGTCCCATCGTTGTTGGCACGGACCAGCATGTTCTCACTCGGCCGGGGCACAGCCGGGGCAGCAAACCTCAGCTCCTCAAATGAGTAGTTCTCATAGGCCTGGGGGAAATGTGGAGACTTACACAAACTTCATACAAACAATTGGTTTCACACATAGTACTGACCTCTACAACTGGAACATTGTTAAAGGTTGTCATCGAGTCCTGCATATACATTCAAGACATACAGAATCAAGTACCTGTGTCCCAATAAAGATGCTCTTCTTCACAATAGCTCAACATATATTCTAGCACAACATTGTGTGATACTCGATTCTGATTGGCTCATCAAAACCGTACTTAAATGGCAGTTTAAGACCGCCAATTAAAGTGACCGATTCACCGCGTATGAATACAACGAACTCGTTGACCCTATTGTTTGAAACAAACATGTCGGACATCGGCACTTTCTATCTCGGCAGCATCTTTGGTGTTTTTTAAGTAAAAAGCGATTGGTTTGAAGAAGAATTTCTTGACCCTAATCCCAGTGAAGAAACTACGAAGCTGGAAAATCTGTCAGCAGCGCAAAAGCGGCAGTATATTCAAAGTGGGTCTAGATCTACGTGTGTTGACGTTGACAACACACGTCCGCCCACACATCCTAACCTGACCGCTTCCGTCCCGCCCGTAATGCCCAGTCCTTCCACTTCCACTGTCCATGTATCCCACATAAAACGTGGCATGTCAGGTCTTTTCCAAATTGGGAATAGTTGGGTGGTTATCACCAATTATTTCCATGAATAAAGTTAGCAGCGACTAAACTTAGTGAGTTCACGGCTTGAATTTGGGCGAGTCGATTGTCATACAGTAGGGGAGATCAATAATTCGCTTGAGAAAAATCAAATAGTTGTACTTGCTCAGAGTATAAACTGTATTTTTTTTTATTTATGAATGCTACTTGTTACAAATACAAGCATAATGGTTCCAGAAATATAGCATTTATGTTGTAGAAAATGTCTTATTTTGTTCATTACACAACCTGTCCTTCAACGGGACAATTCCAAGCGATTTCCAGGGAAAAGGACCCTTTGTGCCTTGTGTTCTTGCGCGCCAAACAGTTCGGTTTTAAAACGCTTATCAGTCGTGCTAGAATGAAGATAAAGCTACTCTGTTTTCAATTTTGCGGTCCTTTATCGTTGATTTAAGACAGCTAACGCGTTTGGTTTTTAAATTACATTTAGCGGTCTTAAATCAATGATAAAGGACCGCAAAATTGAAAACAGAGTAGCTTTATCTTCTAAATAACATAGCCAGCATGTTTTTTCAAGAAAAGAACCAGATCATATTTAAGCATAAAGAAAAATGCTGGTACCTTCTTTTGAGGACACATATGGCCAGCCATAAAGGATGCTTTCCAGAAAATTATTGTTGGGAAGGTCACTTTGTAGTTAATATTTAAAAGAAATATTACCTAGATGTAAACCAATATTACTTAGATGTAACCAGATGTTTTAAAGCTGAGATTAATAATCTGGACAATTTCAAAGGAAACATAGTGCAGATGAACCCTGACTTGCTGTTCACGATTCTAAAGACAAAACACTATCATCATGTTAAAACTTTGGATGCTATCTTGTGACACAATCCAGACAATCGCCCTTACCTTCATGATGGTTATAGAGTGGAAAATGTCCTTTCTGTCTTTGAAGGTGGATTCGTAAGGAGTGTCAAGTGATGGCGGGGGTAGACCTCCAAATGTGAGGTCACCTTCATCGGGACGACTCAGTCGTCTCATCTTCTTCATGTCATCTCCTGTAGTGTCCTTCTGGTCGACAGGCACCGCCTTCACTTCAATCTACAAGTTAACAAAACAGCATCCACAACAACAGAAAACATCATCATCACAACCCATTCAAGAAACACTGACTGAGTTTAGTTTTACCCCGCTTTTAGTAATATTCCAGCAATATCACGGCGGAGGACACCAGAAATGGGCTTAACACATTGTGCCCATGTGGGGAATCGAACCCGGGTCTTCGGCCTGACGAGCCAACGCTTTAACCACTAGGCTATCCCACCTCCCCCATTCAAGAAACAGTTTATTCCACTGGCCAGAAGCAGCCTTTCAGAATAAATTTAAACACAAGTATAAATGGGCTATAAATGTTTATCCTGATTATGAGGATGAGCTATATGAACAAAACAAGCAAGTGAGCATGGTTTTACAGTGCTCCTCAAAATATCCATAACCATATATATCCCCAGAGGGAAGTCTCTGACAAATGATAACTGTCACATGATAACCAAAAACTTCAACAGCAAGGCTTCCAGCCACACCTTGTATCAATGGTTCCAGTTCATAGCTTTTTATATAGAAATGGGAGAGTAAACAATACCATAAAAACTTTTATGCATAATTGTTTGATATGCAAAATATGGACAATCTCACACTGGCTTGTACATCCCCTTCTATATGAACACTGCATGTCTACATACAAACATCCCCTCACCCTGAGGTCTTGCACGTTGACAAGCTGTCCGTACTGATCCTTAGTGAGGACAGTGACGACGGCAGGCCAGCTACACTTGAGCTCCTCCTTGTTACACACGATCTCACACTGCTTTGGGTCCAGGTAGGAGTCAGGCTGCAACCATCTGGAGGAGGGGAACAGCAGTATCATGTATTACTCACCTTAGGTCAAGGTCATCCTAGGTCAGACCAATGTGACTTTTGGAAGAAATGGATGCCTTTGGACTACTTTTGATATTTCACCCTTAGAAAGGACTTGTAATTTCTAGTTTTACAGATTTCTAATAAATATTCACATACTGCACATATACTGTCCTATAACCACATCTTTGGATCAGTGTGCACTGAAACTTCACTCAGAGCTCCCCTGGGATTATATACACCAAGCTGCCATATGAAGAGTGAGTGTTGATGTCCTGGTCATCACAGTTTGTGACCCCTGTCACCTTGGTCAGAGTTCATATGAGTCAATAGAAAGTTTAAAAGAACAAGTTTACAATTGATGATGCAATACAAATTCTACTCACTCGATGTTTGCAGATGATGTAAATATTGCCAGGTTAACAAATGGAGGACATACCTGGCAAGTCTGCCTCCACTAGTGCCAGGTGTGCAGGACACAAAGTCCTTGAGGAACGCTCGCTCGTTGGACTGCCAGCAGAATGGCAGGTTGCCCTCCAGGGCCTGCATGATGGTGGGTGGGTGAGACAGAGCGAAGCCCTTCCCTAGCAGCGAACTGTGGGAGTTGAACACCTGTAGGGGAGAACAGAAGGTGAGTGAGAGGCTGAATTATGAAGTCAGTGTTATCAGATTTATAGGGAGAAAAGTGGGTAGCCTAATGCTGTCTGTGCTATTAGTGTGTGAAAGAGTTTAGTTTTACACGGCTTTTAACAATATTCCAGCAACATCAAATGAGCTCCACACATTGTGTGGGGGGAAACGAACCCCAGTCTTTGGCGTGGCAAGGGAATACTTTTTCAACCTCTTGGCTACCCAACTGCCCCTCAGTGCTATTAGACAAAGTAAGTGGCTGCCTAAATTTTGTCAACAGTGCAATTAGATCTAGAGGGAGGACACCATTCTACCAAAACTCCATAACAAAAGAAATCCTACTCGACGCACATGAAGGACACACATAACATTTAATTTGAAAAGACATACATTTGTCCACATAATTCTTTAAGATATGTGACATGAAAAAGTTGCAAGTACAGCATGCACAACTCACCAGTTGAGCTCCTTCTTCTATCATGTCCATCTCTTCATCCAGCTCCTCCATAGTAACTGCAACAGAAAATGTGTGTGAACACCAGCTTTGTATTTGGCCTACAGCTCCATCTTATAAACTCAGTGAGTTTCTTACAAAGTCAGGATGACATCTATGTTCCCTTATTCACTGTGGTAAAAGCTGTAAGGTGGAGTGGAGACAATATACTACAATCTATAGTCCTCCAGTCAATGAGCAGGACTTACCTGGAGGTAGAGCAACGTCCCTCCTCATGAGAGCTGTGGCACACATCCCACCCAGGTAACTCAGCTCCCTCTCCAACTGCTGCACACTCTGGCAAAGAGAGAGGATCATCATCATCATCATCATCATCATCATCATGAAGTTTACACATCTGGATTCAGTTCATCACTTTCAGGATATATTTCTAGCTAATCCAGGAACATTCTACAGACATACAATATCATTATCCTTACATTTATTCCAGCTATATTAAAGCACAAAGTTACATTTATTCCAGCTATATTAAAGCACAAAGTGACATAAAAACATCCAGTATACTCACCTCCTCTGGCTTAGATGCCAGCTCATACCCAATGACTGTACACTTAAAGCCATAGAACGATGCCTTTTCATCCTTCACATAGTCCTGAGGTACCCATTTGGACAAAATCCAGCCTTAAACAAAACACCACCTCATTGCCTGGACAATATAACAGCATGTGATGTCAACAAAGACTGTGATGCTCTAGACCAACTAGTACCACGTCTTTTGGAGGAGGTAGTTTAGTCCTGACATCACTACTTTCGCAAAGTCATTTCACATATGATTCACGCTTGTGATGTAATATCAAATTCCTTGTGCCAGTATCAAGGATCAAACTCAGATCTTTGGGCACCAGACAAATGAATTACTTGCTTGGCTACCCCACTGCATAAACATAGGCATATAACACTGAAATCATAGTATTCGACCAATGTGACAAATGCTTCAATTTTGATTGTACAGATCAGGGCCTAGATTTTCGAAGATCTCTTAGCGCTAAGATAGTCGTAAGTTAATGTTAATGTATGGCACTTCCGACTATCTTAGCGCTAAGAGAGCTTTGAAATTCTAGGCCCAGGACTGTTATTTATGTGCATCTTACCAGGGAGTATGACTGCCTGTTTGGGCCAGTTGTTGTGACCATAGAATTTCTTCAGAACTGGCCAGTGAGTCTGTTTAATGTCCTGATCATCACAGTTCGTGACCCCTGTCACCTTGGTCAGAGTTGGCTCCCCTTGAGGTCTGCCCAGCACATACAACTGTAGCGAGTCCTCAACTTGAGCTGTGGCACTCTGGGGGTCAAACTCCAGCACAATCCACCTGACACAGGGCGGGAACTCCACCTGATGTACACAAATGGCAATACAGTATCCTGGGCCACATTGAATAAAGTGATCTTAATATTCTGGTAAACATAACATCCGTACTTTAAAATTTGGCTAACAATCATGATGGAGAGAGTGAGGAGCCTGGTGACAGGTGGCTGTTTCCCGCTAAAATCTCTTTATGGAATGGGCCTAGAGCAGATATACTTGCCAATTGAAGTATAATTTCAAAAGTACTAAATAACGCACATAAGTATTTCAAGTGACAAGCAAAGGAGTACATAATGCTGCTGTGAACAGTCTTTCAGTTAAATCATGGCAAGTGAGCTTGATGAGGGTGAAAGTAAAACTTGAAGTGATGCATGGCTTAAGATATTTATGACTTTTGTGAAACAACACAACACAAAACAAAACTGTTAACAAAACAGGTTAATCTAGGATTCAAACCAATGGTGAAAGGTTACTGGCATGTCTTAAAGACAGACGTCCAAGCAATCATCAGTATCTTAGTTGCCTTGGCCACCTATGCCCCTGCTAAACAACAAGCAAGGTCACGCTGACCCCAACCATTCCCCATTTTAGAAAGCTTTGACAGGGACATATCAGGGATCACAGCAGAACCACAAAATTTTTATAAGGATGTTAAAAGCTGTAGTCAGCAACACTACCATTGGTATGTAAAAGCTATTTTTAGCTGAGTCCAACCCGTGATTGTGAGTATGAGCAATGATCATCAGCAGATTGGAGGTCAGTCACACAACCATTCATTATTACCACCCTATCCTCAGTCTAGTTGGTCCTTACAACACATGTTTTCATTCTCTCAGTTTCTGGTAATTGTTCATGATGTTCATCTAGAGATCACAGCATACCTTGTAGTTGGCGACAGTGGCTGGCTTGTAAGGGTGATCACTCTCCACCACTGCATAGTGCTGGGAGGTGGTGCTCTGGCTGTTCTCCACGACGCTGGAGTCAAACACGGCCGAGTTGCTCAGTGGTAACGGCACCAGGTTCTTGGTGAGCGTCACAACTGCTGGCAGAATCTCCTGGATCAGGTACAGCACCTGCACTGCCCCCTACAACACAAGGGAGATAACTGACTTGTAGTTTTGCCATAAATAATTTGGTCAAAGCAAGGGAGCATTCACCTTCTAGCAAAGCTTGGTGTGTATACTCCCCAGTGAGAAGAAAAATACAACACAATCCATTAAAAGTGGACTGACTGACTGAGTTTCGGTTTTACGCCGCATTTAGCAATATTCCAGCAATATCATGGCAGGGGACACCAGAAATGGGCTTCACACATTGTGCCCATGTGGGGATTCGAACCCGGGTCTTCAGCGTGACGAGCCAACGCTTTAACCATTAGGCTACCCCACCGCCCCATTAAAAGTGGAAATAATGGAGATGGGACTGAGCAATGGACTATTGAACATTAAAAGGAAACATTAGCTCATAGTTTTATGGCTTAAAAGACAATATTTTAAGAATCCCAGGGACGAAAGTCCATCAGGTTACAGTGACACAAAATCATTCCATGTCACTGACCCTCTCCATCACATGCCTCTAAGCAGTCTCAATAGAGTTCTAATCCAGCATGTCACAGAGTCTCTGAGACCAGAAATGACAAGTGTAGAAATATAGTGAAGAAGCAAGTAGAATGTGTTCCTTACTCTGGGATCCTGAGCAGCGACAGGCCCGACATAGGCCAATGACAGGGGAAGCAGGGATGAGAAGAGATGGGACTTTCCAATGACATCACACACCTCCTCCGCTGAAACAAACAACATACCATTAAAATATCATAAATGATGAAAAATGAACCTCTCATCCATGAAATACAAATCAGTATTGACTGCAATATTGCAACTTATTACTACCAGTTTAGTGAAAATACCATAACATCACAGTTACAAATCCATTTATAATAGAGATATTTGAGAAATGCTCTTTGAGACTTGCCATGCAAGGAGTGTGATCGGTGAAGGAGGTCTGTGGTCATCCTACAGATGGCACCAGTGATGTCAATGGCATTCTTCCTGGCCTGAAGCTCTGCCAGATTCTTGGTGGTCTGGTGATAGTGCTCACCATCCTGGGGTGCTGGAATATATACATCTAGCTGTCACTCACAGTGGTCAACATGACACACTGGCAGGAGGAAATACAGGGTTCAACCTAAAGTTGTGCATCATTGTAAAATGATTTGAAGCGTATCAGAGATGCTTCACAATATATGAATGGATACCTTCATATGAATCATGTTTCAAGTATCAAATTTTTTTTTTACAGATGCCATTGATATAGGTGGAATATGGCTGCCTGCAGCATTAAAGAGCATAGATACACTCACACATCCTACTATCATATCAAAGAATTAGGACTGGATATTATTAATGGTATACTAAATAGGCTCTTAAAACAATATACAACAGATTTCGATGCATTTGTCTTGTTTAAACTCAAGTCTTTCTTGAAATTTCAGAAATTCCTTCACAAAGGATAATTCCCTTCAAAACTGATCGATAAAACAGCACAAACTCTTCCCGCAAGTTGTTACCTCCCCTGTATCCATGACTCAAAAAATGGTGGTGACTGATCGTGCTGAGGTATATTTACTATAGTGGGTAGAACTGCATGTACAATGTCAATCACACTTCTTAAGCCACATATTGTGATACCCATATTTGCCAACATGCAGTCCTACAAAGTACTGTAATAAACCTTGAATAACACAGCTCTTTCTGACTGAAATACTGCCTTAAAAATTCACACCACAAGATCCTCAGGACCTTCTTGTGCATTGCAACAGTGTGTTACATTGTTAAACATGTGGGTTGTGATTCAATGTATGGGTAAAGATTCCAGCAATACAGTGTTCTCAACAGTTCTGGTTGTATCTAATTCAAATGACAGTGACAAAAAGATTTCAGCTATAAAAATAATTGTGGTCATTTAAATTTGGGAGTTTTGAAGGGGATGCTCATTACTTACTAATTGTTGTAAATGTTCATGAATGATATTCTATCCATGTTAACTGACTTCTGGTCAACAAACACTCACTGCTTCATGAAATCCAAATTAACTGATATATTTACAACACTAAATGAATACAAACACTCCACTCCATTTAGATGTCAGTTCAAACACTAACTTCCAAGGATGATTATAATGAAGTAAACTATAAGTGAAGCCCGTTAGTCCGGACTCCGATAATCCGACGGATGTCTCAGCTAAACAAATATCCTCTTACCTCCTGGCGGCGATTTCAGCTTATTACCAATCTATGCCTATATAATTTGCCTCGATAATCCGGAAATATGGTTTTCCGAAATTCGGGAACCGGATGATAAGTAGCTGTCACCAATCAGTAAAATAAACAGTAAATTGCTTCACAGTCCGGACGCTGTAAGTCGTGTTCACGAACCGTAACAACACCTCCCGGCGATGTTTACTTAATTAACTGGCCAACTGGGTTGTTGTTTTAATTAGACATTAAAAGCTCCCGACTGAAGATACTGTACATTTACACTTTGATTGACACCACAATACAAAGGCGTGGATGACAAGTGAGCTGTTTTGTGATTGGTTAATGTACTTTGACAGACAGATGCGGTCACGTGGACTTAAAGTGATTTTGCTTTACGACAATGCTGCAAGTCACAAGTGTGCTTCGCTAACTTTGCGAAATGTGACCAAATACCACGTCTCATATTCAACCGATGGATGCAGGAATAATTCGGACATTCAAGGCATACTACAATAGATCGCTTGTTAGACATTACCTCACCTGTGCTGAGGAAGGACGTGATCAGACACGTCGGATCAACATGCGGATGTCACTCGGTAAAATTATTGATGTGATGAATTAAGCTTTACATTAAATGCTTATTTGTTTTATCCAGATTCGTGTCGTTTTTGTAATAGTTAGGGAAGCAACTTGGGTCTTGATTCAGTAGTCGGACTATGTACATGCATAATCATTTGCGGACCTGATAAGTAAACAATTTGGCGAGTCCCTTGAAATTTTACTTATCAGGTTTCCACTCTATATGTCCTTTAGGGTGGGACGGGTGGTTATAACATCATAACTTTGGACAATTATTGTCTGCTATGGACAATACATCTCATCACAGGACAAGGAAATACTGTTGTGTTTGAGGATACCTTGATGGGAACTGGCCTATCAAACTTGATCTCAGCAATGTCATTCACACAGTCCTCAGGGGTGTAAGCTCCACGCACAATCTCCAGACTGTTCCACCTCTGTGTGTGAGACACATCTTCTTGACCTTCACCTTGCTGTAAAGTTGACATCATGCTTACATTCATTGATGTTTCTCATACTATTTTTAGCAAAGTTTCCCCAAGAGTTCAGACAGTAAAGGGGAATAAATGAACAATGAATAATATCTGCACCATTCTTCAGTGTTACCACGGTAACATTCAGTCAGAGAAGTAATTACATCAATCCAATCATGTCAACAGGTTACAATAGATTCAGGGTATTACCTCAACTCACAAACATGGGGGTCCCGGGGACCCCTAATTATATGTTTCAATGGTGCTTGCAGGCAATATGAGGGTTTTGTGAAGTAACGGTGTAGAGAACTGTATGTTTTGATCATTTCTTTAGAGCCTGGATTGAATCATTGATAATGTGAACTTCGGAATGAAATGATGCATGTGACTGCTCTGAAAGAAACAGCCAAACACTTAGCAAAGTCATGATTATGTTGTAGGTACATTGAATAATATTGTGTGTCCTCTGGACGCAATGATTTTTTTTCTGCATCCATTCTCTACATTTGTGTGCATTGAGATTGTTAACTTCTACCGTGAGATTGTTAACTTCTGCCACCCTACAGATAATAGCTAATAACCAGTTCATAAGGGCTTTATCATTATGGCAATTTGCTGACCTTGACATTTATACTTAAATTCCAACACTGCTTTAGCATTTCTATTATTACCTCATCCAGAAGTTCCACCTCATACTCGTAATGTCCTCCGCCCCCATACACGCATACTCCGGCCACCACGATGCCCGGTCGGTCAACTGTGAAGGCCACAGCATCTGGACTTCCATTCCCAGCATTCCAGTACGCACTCTGGCTGGTTCGCGTGAATCGGTTTGGTGTCACAAGCATTGGACGAGACGTGGTGCTAAGGTCAATCTGTTGAGGGTAGAGGGAAGTGTATGAGGTCATTTCAGTTGATATTAAGACTATCATCTACAAATGAAAGTCATTCTGCACATCTTAAGCTGACATCCAAAAAATATGGAAAATTATTGTCACTGTAAATGTTGGTATAAGAATATGATCCAAGAGGACAATAATTATTATTGTGTTCCAGACTTAAAATCAGTATTACAGCTATATCAAACTGTTTGTTTAGAATATGAGACAGGAACAGACAAATCAAAGGTGTGTAAACAGCTAGCCTTAAATGTTCTTCAAACACATACAAAATCACATATCATCATCTAAGGAATAAAACATGTTCATCAGATGAACGAAAATCATAAAAAAAACTGTTCATCAGATGAACAAAATCATACGATGCCTGTTTGTCTGAAGAACCAAATCACATAAATACCAGTACATCAGATGAACCAAATCACATGAAACCTGTTTGTCTAAGGTAACAAATCATGAAATCTGTTCATCAGATGTTCCATAATCACATTAAAACTGTTCATAAGATGAAACAAATCATATGAATCAGCACATATGATGAACCAAATCATACAAAATCTGTTCATTGGATGCACCAAATCATACAAAACTTGTTCGTCACATGAACCAAATGATACATACAAAACTTATCCACCAAAGCCACATCTATGACAACATCAAATCAAATTACACCAACTTCCAATCCCGTGGATGACGCGGCAAGTTCACTGATGATGGTTACAAGCAGTGCACAAGTATTAGCAACAAGTGACGAAGGGAAGACAGATTTCTCCTTGCTTAATGCCTGCCTGACAGGGAGCCCACAATGAGGAGTAGCCGGTCCAGCACCTCCTTGAAGGAGATGTGACTACCGCCAGTGATGCTGTCAATCTGAAACAAGATCACTGACATAACTATCTTCGTTCATCAGAAATAACAACTTAAGCTACTATATTCCAGGGCGGTGTTTGGTAGCCTAGTAAAGCATTCGCTCTTCGTCATGCTAAAGACCCAAGTTTGACTTCCAACATGGGTACAATGTGTGAAGCCCATTTCTAGTGTCCCCCACCATGATATTGCTGGAAAATTGCTAAAAGCAGCGAAAAACTGACCCACTACACTATTCCAGCAAGAGTGAATGAATGAGTTTAGTGTTACGCTGCTTTAAGCAACATTCCAATAATACCACGGCAGGTGACACCAGAAATGGGCTTGACAAATTCTACCCATGTGGGAATTGAACCCGAGTCTTCGGCATGCCAAGTGAATGCTTTTACCACTAGGCTACCATACCATCCTCTTCTGGCAAGATCATGACAAGGTGCACCTGAAATAGGCGATTTTTGCTACAGCAAGGCAGGAAGATGAAGAATTGGCTCCACACTACAACTGGGCAGCAGTTTATTCAGCTAGGAATTACTTCTTCAATGTGACAAGCAGTCACACTACAGTCCATTTGGGTTCAAATGAGAATGGTGAATGAGTAAATAACTTGAAATAGGGAGCGCTCAAAACATAAATAAGACACATGGTCCTGAAACCTCTGTACCCAACAGGATCTGAAATCTGACGTTTTATGATCTATCATGGAAAAGGTTGTTTAAGAAACTATCATGTAATATTGTTCTATTTTCACTCTTCACACCGAAGGGTGATACACGGCTGGTGGAAAAGTGCAGGTACGCACTTAAGGTGCAACTCAGCACACCCCCACCCTAGTCAGGAAACGGCCAGCGCTGTTCTACCAGCCATTTGTCACCCCTGGACTTTCACTTCCCAGCACAACACCAGTTATCTCCCTTACCTCCATTCTGTAACTCATATGACTGGCCAGAAGGGGATACTTGTGCATCTCTCCAAGTCGGGCAGCACTGTTGGTGTTGTCGTCCATGCAGAGTGATTGCCGACGTAGTATCTCCTCTGCCTCGGGTTCACAGTTGATGGGCATGATGTTGGTGAGCTTGATGGCAGGGTGACACATGGCCTCCATCACTGCCGCTAACAGTCGCCCCACCCCACAAACGTTGGAGGTACCCTGGAGGACAGAAGAGTCTCTCAGTGTCTTACACAGGAATTGTAACATGGCTGGTATTTTTTCATGGAATAAGAGTTAAAGTATAATGTGCATAATGATTCGAACAAAATTTATGAAACTAATTGAACATGATTCCTGAAAAGTATGTAGCACATGAATTGTTGAATTAATTCATTTTAAAGAAATACTCAACATTAAAAGGTATTAAGCAAACTGAAAATGTGTATAATTAATTCAACCTAAGATCTCAAGTTTTGTAAGGAAATCACACCAAAACATTATAAAAGAATGAGATATGTTAAACATGCCTGTTTGTCCTGCTGGAAGCAGTTGTGAAAACCTTTGAAATAATCTTATGACTGTTTGAATGTGTTCTTATGTACGTACAACATGAGAAGTACTGGTTAAAAATTAATAGAATGAGATGTATGTTTCTTAATTTCGACAATGTCAAAAGAAAATCTCACAATCAGTTTGAGTAAATCTGTGACCCAAAATGAATTTTTGTTCGTATAAAAATATAAAAATCTAACTTGACGTAAACTTTACCTCTAAATTTGTTTGGCTGAAATCCAAATGAGTGTTGTGCTAAACAGTCTTTTCTCATTAATCTGAAACCTTCCACAACATTTTGTTTGATAATTATTCCTTGTATTTGTGTGAATGGTGAGTGAATTATTGTCTTGTTTTTCCGTAAAACATTTCCACCTGTATCCCATTAAATTACTGTATATCTTCGGACTGAGCTGTCCCCTGGCTGCTTAGTTTTGACTGTAACAGGGATTCAGAAATAAAATTTAAATTACATTTTTTGTTTTGCACTTCCTTGATCTAACAGGTCAAAAGGACTGTCATCATACCTCATCCTTTCTTTGTGTCATAAAATATGTTCATTCAGCAAACATTACACAGAAGAAAGAATACAGCTTGAGAGTTTCATCCTTCATGCAGGGAGCTGTAATGATTCTCTGGAGTACTGCCTGAGCTCACCGACTTCCCCGATATTTGATATGTGTGGGGTTGTGATGCATGGCAATAACTGGAGGACATGTTGATAATCTTTCCAGTAATTGGCAGCAAAGGAGACACAAATTTACAAATACTTTGGTTGGAGTCATATGTTCAATTACTTTGGAAACGTAAACTTTGTTATTAAATGCTGCATTATCCCAGTTAAATGACAGTGATCTCTTAATAATCAAGTCTAGACAAGACAACCATTGATCCATGTCATTGGGACATAACAGTGTCACTTATTTGGAGCATTCAGTTGCCTCTTACAACAAGCAGAGGGTGCTGGGGACTTACGTTCTTACCTAGAATCCATTCATGTTAACATAAGGTGGCCAGTGTCACACTGCCACTGTACCATATATCAAATCTATTATTATTTTGTTACAGCTACATCACAGTCCAAGATGGTCCAAGAACTCGATGGCGTATACATCAACACGCAATGCTTGGGTATATAAGAATACGCGACCATCTAGGTCCTGCTGACTGATGGCTTTAGTTGGTGGCCGCCTATCAATCTCATTAAATCAGATGCAGTATTCTGATACAAAACCTCTGAGCTTGAACATCTGAGGATACCACCACAGGTAAAATTGGAGTGAAATTTGACCAATAATCTAAATAAAAGATGCATCAGTTCTTGAGCCAATAATATGTTAGTTTCATTTTTATACAAATCAGAAATTTGGAAATCCCAGAATGAACAAACACCACAGAACACAATAACTCCAATGGTCTACATGCCATGACATTCAGAAATGATGCATAAATATCCACAAAAATACAACAGTGCATTTGGAACTCCCCGATCATATTCATATATGAATTGCAGCAATCAGACTTTCATGTTTGAATGCCTTGTTTGATTTTATGCCTTGATGCTGCTTTTCTGATATGACCTCACTAGGTGATTTCAGATCTTCGTGCATAGAAATATAGTAACAAAGTATAGATCTGATTTAAAAGAGATTGCCATTGAAGTGCAATTCATTTTCAGCCAGCACTGTACCCATCCAATCACCAGTTTTGCCCATTGTACTGTAAGTAGTGTCAGTGGGCAAAACACCAGAATCCCCAAGAAGGCAGTTTGAACCTAATATAAGGCTTGTGTTCAACAGGGAACACAGACAGACAGTCATACATGACAGAGTATATGGATTAGTGGGTTAGTCAGAAAAAGGCAGATGATATTAGTAGTTTTACATGTAGGTACATGATACAAGCACATGTTGCTGATAACTGTCTTCCATATATATGTGATGTTGCTATATACACTATGTATGCTGGAATGGATGTTTGGTCAGTTCTATCTGAAGGACATACTATTAATCTGAATACAAAATAATCCTTTCAGGCACTTGCATAACAAGTTCATAAAGTTGTAAAATTATTTACTAGAAATAAATGTTCTTGTGTTTATTACAATTATGATGAATAATTATTATTATTATTTCAGAATTCTAAATTAAAATAATTACACTGAACAAGTCTTGCAGACCACATTATTAACAATGGAGCCACATTTACATATCATCACAATATTATACAACTAACTCGGTTGTCTTTATGTAGACTTTGTCAAGAGGATGTGATTTGTTGAGGACTATCATGCTCAGACCCATTGCTACTGGCCCATCTCAAATGGACATTAATCACAGAGAATCTTATAATCAGCAGGATAGTGACCCCAGGAGGACATTGTTAGAAGTCCAGAAGGACTTTATAAGACCTGTGGCACAGTATTTACCTCCTGAAATATCATCATTGGTCAATGACTTTTTTATCATACAATTAAAAACAACATATTTCCTTTATCAACTCTAAAATCTGTTAACTTGAAAAATTATAGACTTGTAAAATCACAAATAATCAAACTGTTATACTTCTTTTCCATAAAAACACCAATAATGATATGATACATGGTACATGATGCATGATACATGATACAGTAGTCAACAAAACACACAAAACCAAACATAAAACATTATGAGCAGAAAACAAAAGGAGAATAACTTAAAGCAAGCCAGACCATTTTCTAAAGTACTGGTAGTTATAAACTGACATTAACAACCCTCATTTAGGGCCACTTATAAGTAAGAGCACACTGCTCCAATGGCTGCCATATATTGGCAGCAAAAGCTCCCGACGTGGATACCAAATGAAATGTAGTTACATAACCAAAAACTGATAATTAATTGCTATCAATTCTTCTATAACCTTAAATTTCAAAAATATTGAAAACAATGGTCATGAATACAATTATAACAAGAATGTAAGAATCCAAGTTTGTGAAATATTCATCATTGATAAGAACACATTCTTATAATAAAGAATCATCAGATTATAGGTTTTTGGACATCACATGGTTTCATGTATTGTTTACTCGTGCTACAATGAGGCAAATTTGCATCACACAGACATTGTAAATATTCAGATGATGGCTCATGATGGAGACAGAGTTGTCATTGATAAGTTAGTGGCTTGTTTTACAATTGTTCATGAGATAATGGAGACAAAAACAGATGTTCTTAAGTGTCCGAACACCCATAACATGATGATGTAATCAGAGTTCAAAATGAAGGAGGGTCACAGAGTAGAAAATGTTTGCTGCTATAGCACAAGGAGCTGGGGATTGGCCCCTTATATCTCCAACTTTGAACATAAACCGATCTCATTAAGTCAGATGTTATTTCTCTTGTACTTAGGACATTACAGGTGACACGTGTCATGACTTTTCATCCAACAGAGCACAGCTTACCAGAATGGGAAGTGACAGTCAGAGGTGCCTTCTAATCATGCCACCGTTAAAACCTTAAAAAACTGGTAACATGGTATTCTGAGCCACAGATATGGGTCATACAACTGAGGAGAAGAGGAGGAGCACAGGAGAGGAGGAGAAGAGGAGGTGGAGGAGAAGAGGAGGAAAGGAGAGGAGATGAGGAGGGGAGGAGAGGATTTTGCCAAAAAGTATAGTCAGAAACAAAAGTCACTAGTCTGAAACAAGTGCCATAAAGCTTGGGAAAACAGCTTTCTGATTGACCGATGACAACTTCCTGTTAGTCACTTCATCGGTTGCTCATATGTTGGGAAAAGTCCTTCTGAAGATACCTGTAATGGGATGTCCTAAGAACTTAGTTCAGTGGCGAAGAGAACTAAGATCTGATTTTAACGAGATTTAGATGAAAGTAATATCATTGATATGTTTCAAAGCCAATACTTCATGGGTTGGAATATACACTATTTCCCTCCATCACCCAGCAACAGAGAAACCAAGAAACCAGTAGAGTCCTCAAAACTCCAAGGAGCACGGAGTTTATGCTGCACAAACGGGAAATGATTCTCATTTGAAAAAAACCCTCAGTGCTTCAATGACAGGCAGGGTTGGCTCACATTTCAAACAGTTAACAGTTTATGTGCAGAGTTGGGCACAGTTGACTTGCAGAAGCTGACTGGTCACCTGTCACCATTAACAGCCCACTGTATCGCCAGGTGATGCAGAAATGTAATGTATACCTACCCGTGAAGTATAGACAATGGTTACTGGTAAGTTGTCTCAGTAGGACTGTTTCTCTGGCATTTTTTAGAAGTTGCTAAGTTACCATCTTGGAATGCAAGACATTTTACAGATGATTTTTCCTATTATGACGCGACATTTTGGTACAGATCCTTATACTGTTGTCAAAAGTGATGAAGGATACCTCATCCAATTTACCTAAAGTGAACTGATAAAACAACAGCAAACTCCAGTTATATCCTTGCTAAATGCTCACAGCACTGTATATTTTTACCCTGGCTTCTTTCTTTAGTTATATCAATCAGCCATCATCTTTTCTTCTTGCTGTTAATCCCTTTCAGGTTTACTGATCAGTGATGACGTTTTGGTTAATCTTTATTAGATGTAGATTTATCTGTACTGTGCTGTCTTACTTGACGTCAATAAAACAGACCCAGCTTAAAGTTGCCATTAACTCCCCAGTGTACTACTC